AGCTCTTCCAGAACGAGCTGGACCTCCTGCTGCCGCCGCCGCTGGGTCTTCAGACGGCCCCGCCGCTGCTGCTCCAGAAGATGAAGGAGACCACGGCCACGCTGTTGGGCCTCGAGCTCGGTCGCGGGCCTCGCCAGCGCAGGTTCCTCGGCGCCTAGCCCAAAAGGCCGCCGACGCGTCAGTGGGGAACCCAGCACCAGCAGACTGGGCGCGCTTCGACGCGACCACGTCGCTACGAGCACTTCGCAGCAACTCTTACGACACAAGGATCAGGGAGCTGCGGAAGCTGCACCTCCGGTGGTGGCACGCCACCAAGGAGGAGATGCTGCGCGCCTTGAGGGCCGCCAACGTGAACCAGGAGATCCTCGACCTCATCCCGACGGTCGTGAACAACTGTCGTAAGCGTCGCAAACGGCTACCGCCAACGCACCAGACAGTACCGACCCTCCGCCTGCCCACCAGGTTCAACCAGCACGTCGAGTGCGACATCATGTTCTACAAATACCGCATGGTGTTCCACCTGATCTGCTGCGCCTCCAGGTGGAATAACGGCCAAGAGATCAGCGACAGGAGCGACTCCACGATGCTGGCCGCGATCGACGAGTCGTGGGTGCAGCTGTTCGGAGCTATGGAACAGCTCATCGTGGACCTCGAGGGCGGGATGGCAACCTCGAGGTACTTCGACGAGGAGCTCAAGCGTCGAGGTATCTCCCTGCACGCACGGGCGCCCAGACAGCACGCGCGCTTCATGGAGCGACGCGGCGCGATCTTGCGCCATGCTCTGCACACCGCCGAGGAGCAACTTGAGCGAGAGAGCCTGGCGGCGAACTTCGACTCCATGCTGGCGAACGCCATCTTCGCCAGCAGCAGCCTCACGCATGTAGGCGGCGTCACGCCCTGCCACGTGGTCTTCGGACGACAGCCCAGCATGCTGCCGCCGCTAGGGGTCGACACAGAGGGTGCGGACGAATCTGGCCATGCTGAGGAGTCCAATCCTGCTTCTCCTGGTGGTGATACTCAGCCCAGCCGACTGCAGTGGCGCATTCGCGAGATCGCACTGCAGCGCATGATCGAGGCGACCTCGATAGCACGCGTCAGCCGTGCCGTCCGGACGCGCGCCCAGCCGTCCGGCGAGGGCCAGTTCAACATTGGTGACGTCGTGGAGATCCATCGGCCGCCCGACGCCAAGGATGTTTCAGGCTGGGCAGGCCCAGGGACGACCATTGCAGTAGATCCGGCGCGCGGGAAGGTCACTGTCCAGTACCGCCGCGCCGAGATGAATTGCAGATTGCAGGACGTCCGTCATTCCATCGGCGCCGGGATGACACGCGCTGGCCTGGCGTGGGACTTGGTCGAGGACTTCATCGAGCACATCCAGGAAGGATCAGGAGAACCGCACCTTCGGCCACTGGGAGGACAGCGGCAACGTCAGCTTCACCGAGCAGGCCCGACAGAAGCCCGAGGTCTTCCGAGCCCTACGCCACCTGGTCCACAGGTGCTTTCAGCTGTCAGACGTTTGTGCCATACGTCTGATCCGAGGCCAGAAACAGGTTGGTGCCTGGCCGGGCTGCTCCCGCAGTCAGTTGGTGGTTTCCAAGGACCCCTACGACACGCAGCAGATGCACTTCAACAGCGTGCACTTCGACTCGTACACCTTGGTCGGTGACGCTCTGAAGAACGCCCGCACCCTGCAGTTCATTCTGGGCGACGAGCCACTTATGGCAGCAGACGTCGGTTTTGAGCTTGAAAACGAGATCGGACACCATGTTGTCGGATCTCACGAAGATGCTGCGTCGACTACGGATGGGGGATCACCCTCAGCGCTCTCAGTCATACCCGAAGGCGACGAGCGACTTCTCCGGCTACATCCAGAACGCGATGCTAGCCGCGTGGCAAGAGGTCGAGAATGCCGACGACCTCACCAGCGAGCTCATGAAGAACGGTTGCGAGGAACACCAGCAGCAGGTCTACGCAGCCATTGAGCACGCTGCGGCCGGCATGGGCCGTTGGCCCTCCGAGCGGCCATCACACCTGGAGACGCAGCGTCAGCGCCAGGTGATCCACGAGAGGTGCCACTACTACCTTCGTGGGGCCTCGGAGGCCGAGTATGCCACTCTGGAGGAGGAAGATGATCAAGGTCCACGCGTGGAGCTGCACCTCGACCCCGGAGTGCGCGAAGCATTCCTGAACGCACAGACCGAGATGAGCGACCACGTCGACTCATCATCGTGGACAGCTGCGCTTAAAGTCGACGCCGCCGTCAAGACCGCGTAATCAAGCCCGACACCGACTTGCTCACTGCGGAGGAGGTGTCTGGGTTGCCCCAAAAGGTTGCCGCAGCCATCTTGGAGGAGCTCACCATCTGGGTCAAGTACAAGAGTTTCGAGCGACGACCCCTTCGAGGAGCTCGGAACGCCATGGACTCCCGCCGAGTCTTCAAGTGCATGCACCGCAAGAATGCGGAGGGCAAGATGGTCCGCATTATCAGATGCCGGATGGCACTGCGGGGCTTCGGAGACATGGACGCGGGGGCGCTGGAGACGTTCGCTGGGACAGCGAAGCGTTCGTCTCAGCGCATCCTGTCTTCGGAGGCGGCTTGCAGACCAGACTGGGTCTACGTCGCCGTGGACGTGGAGAAGGCCTTCCCGCAAGGGGTGACTTACGAGGAGATGCAGGAGCAGGGCGAGGCACCTAGGGGGGCCAACTTCACGCTACCTCCCGGCAGCGCCGCGACGCTGCGGAAGGTGCCCGGCCACGAGGACTTCGAAGAGACGACGGAGTGCTTCCATTGCACCAAGCCGGGCACAGGCTGCAAGGATGCTCCGCGGGCGTTCTCCATGAAGCTCGCCCGGGTCACGCGCTCTCCAGAGTGCAACGCCATGCCGACGCGCTGGGATCCGGAGCTCGAGGTCAAGCATGAGCCACCTATGAGCCATGCTCACGGCGTCTCAAAGCTAGTGCCCGCGCTATCCAAGCACGTGGACGACCTGAAAATAGCCGGGCAGAAGATGCACGCGGGCTAGCTGATCTCTCACATCGAGAGCGTCTTTGGCAAGATGAAGGGTGACGGTGGCTGGGGGGGACTTCACCAACTGCGGCGTCCACCAGAGCCGAACCAAGGACGGCGCGGTCACCCTGGACCAGGGCGAGTACATCGACGCGCTGATCCCTATCAGGCACGTCGACCTGGTCAAGGCCACGGCGGATCAGCCGGCCACCGGCCCCCTCCCGGACCTATTCGCACCTCTCTTGGGAGCAGTCGCCTGCGCGTCACTTACACAACACCATGCGGCTGCGCACGCACTCGCGCTGCAGAGAGCCAAGAACAAGCTGCTCATCAGACGCGCGACGCAGCTCAACTCAGTCGTTCTGGCCACGCAGAAGCTGAAGGCACGCGTCGTCTTCCCAGCGATGAAGCGCAGCAAGCGACTGGCCGTGCACAGCGACGGCTCCTTCAGAGGGAAAAGGAGACGGGGCGCGCCACGCGCGGCGCCGTGTACATGCGCATGGGCACGTGCCCCAAGACTGGCATGGAGGTCTGCCACCTGCTGGAGGCCGTCAGCAGATCACACAAGCTCGTGTGCAGGCCCTCCTTCGGCACAGAGCTGCTCGCGGCCTGCGGCGCGGCTGACGGGGCGCAGCAGCGCCTCTTCGCCCTGCGCGAGATGGCGCGCGGCCCGGCCACCGCGGAGAAGATCCGACGGCTGCGGGAGGAAGGAAGCTACGCCATCTCGGCCGAGCTGGTCGCAAACGGCACGTCGATCTTCACGGCGTTGCCGTCCGACCCCGCCCAGCCGCCATCCGAGAATTAACTCACTCGATGGCCGGCCATCTCTGGTGGTTGAGCGACCAGCTTCGCACCGAGCAGCTCCAAGACATGCTGTGGTGCGACACCAGAGACATGAAGGCCGACCCGATCACTAAGGGAAGCATTGGTCGGGACCTCATTTTGGGAGTTATGACTGGCCGCGGCAGTAGCACTCATCCGACGGTGCGCCTCAGCGACGAGACGAGGAAGAAGAGCGCGCCGGGCAGCCAGCGCTCGAGGCTGAACAACAAGCCCAGTGCAGGCACAGAGACTGAGGGAGCTGCACAACCTGAATGGTGAGCAGACTGCGACTACGACACCGTGCAACCAGCCTCAGCAGACAAGCCCAGGAGCAAGACAACATGCTCCTGGGGCTTCCTGGAGCTGTAGGCCTGACCCGAGGCAGGCTAGCAGGGCGGGGGGATGGTCTCTTGGTGGAAGTGTAACTGCTTCTACCGAGGGAACTACGGGCGCGTTCGAGGACCAGACTCGAACGGGCCCATGTCGGGCCATCCCTGCCTTTCACTGCCCCTGCCCTGTTTCACCCGCCTCTCCCCCGCTGCCTTTTGGGCCCTGAGCCTGGCCAGGCTTACACCCGCATGCGTCTAACACAGCACCGCATACCGCAGACATCGCTCTCTTAAAACAGAGAGCACATTCTTTTCTCTTTCATTCCTAACTTGTTACTCTAGTCTCGCACGGTACCTCACCTGTCCGTTGTCACCTTTGCTCGCTCCTCCCCTTGCCACCCGACCCCGCCCCGCACCCTCGTGGTCCTCGCGTTCCGCCTTCTCGTCTCCCTTGTTCCGGGCCCTCGCCTTCCTGCTCCTCGAGAGAGCCCAGGTGCCCCGGCCAACTCAACAAAATCACGCTTACCTTCAAGGATCTCAGGAATACACGTTTGTCCTCCGTCGTGCCGTGGCCCTTATTCCTGCCTTTCGATCGTGCGGGAGGAACACATGCCATCAATCGGGCCTCTTACGGCCGTTCGGAACTATCCGGGCAGCCATGGAACGATTTCGGCGAGGCGCAGCCGATGGAAGACATCTCGAGGCTGCAAAACATCCGAAATACGACGAAAACGCCCGAAAGCCTGGCTTCTCGAGGCTGGGCTGGCCCTGCCGCGTCCGAGATTGCAAGGGCGCAGAAACCCCGCCCCTGCCGATGACGAAGCGCCCGCCGGCGCGGCGAGGCCGAGAAGGAGGGCGCCCAGGCGGTGGCGAGGCAGCTACAGGGCACGGTGCCGCAGCTGCTGCTGAGCGCGCAGGCAGGTGTCTCCCGGCACTTGTGCGTGGGAGGCGGCGGCGGAGGAGGAGGAGAAGGAGGAGGAGGAGGAGGAAGAGGAGAAGGAGAAGCAGCAGGAGGATGGGCAACGGAAAGGGGGGTGGGGGACAGGCTTCGGGGGGGAGTGTTCGAACGTTTTCCTATTTCGGTTTTCCGAGCCCGCGGTGGCTTCCATCAGCTGCGCTTCGTCGAGGGTGTTCAGGGGGTGTTGGGATCGTGCCGAACGGTCGCCAGAGAGTCGAGTTATGATCCGAAAACCCAGGGGCAGCGTTATGAGGGATAGGGCGAGGGGAGGGAGACGCATCGAACCCCCAGTCGCCCACCCGTCGCCCAGAGGGGCCCGATAGCGAGGAGTAACTTTGTGAAGAGCCGAAAAGAAACGGACTGCCACTTCCCATTCCTCTGACCTCCTGCGCTCTTCAGGCGGGCTTGGAAGATGAGGATCGATCACTCCAGGGAGTTCCCAGGCGTTCTCATAACTAGTGCCTCGGGAACCTTCGGGAACGGTCGCGACGCCCGATGCGTCTCCAAGACCCGCTGGCTCTTAGAGCCTCCCGACTGGTACTAATCCTGATCTGTCCTCCTCCTGCCTTCGTCTTGCTCCTCCTCCTCATCCTCCTCCTCATCCTCCTCTTCCTCCTCCTCCTCCTCCTCCTCCTCCTCCTCCTCTTCCTCCTCCTCTTCCTCCTCGTCCTCCTTCTTCTCCTCATCCTTGTCCTCTTCTCCTCCTCCTCCTCCTCTCTCTCCTCCTCCTCTTTCCTCCTCCTCCTCCTCCTCCCTCCTCCTCCTCCTCCTCCTCCTCCTCCTCCTCCTCCTCCCCCTCCTCCAGCCGTTCTGGCCCAAGTGTTGGGTCTGCAGCAGCAAATCTTCAGAACGGCTGTGCTGTTGCGGGCCTTGTGGCGCGTGACACAGTTGATTCGATTCTTGTCAGGTTGAGGGACCTCATCCCGGCTTGCGTGGTGAGCATGCTGGCTTGGGGCCTCCTGGTCAGTTTCGTCCTGCGCTTCCTCCTGTTCCGGTTCTTGCCCATGCGCTGCAAGTTGGACCCAAGGAGAGCAACCTTTCAGCCACGGAGCTCGACACCCTCGTGGGGCTGTTCAAGAAGGCGGGCAATGTCACGGAGGCCCACCGCTTCCGGTGCATGCTCAACGCCCTCAAGCCGCCTCCCAAGGTCGACGAGCCCCTGGAGGAGCAGCTGGCACGTGCCCAGCGTGAGCGTGCCAAGCTTGGGAGGCGCATGCAGCATGAGTTCGGTGTGTTGGAGAGCTACAGTACCAAGCTTCATGCGCAGGATAACCTCATCGTCCAGATGTCTAAGGAGCTGGACCAATTTGATCTTCAGCATGCATAATTGCCGGCCAAGGTCAAGTCGGTGCAGTTGCAGAATGTTCCTGCGGTGTGCCGACCTACCGTGGCGCTGGTTGACTCGTTGGAGAACAAGGTGGACGGCTTCCACCGGGACATGGGTGACCTGCTGGACCTTGGCACCGGGGACGCTGACGAGTCTGATGTGGCCGAGGCTACGAAGCGTAAGGAGGAGCTCATGGACAGCATCCGCAGCTTGGCCAAAGACCTCTTCTCGCAGGCCGTGGAGAAGGCCAGGTCTGCCAGGCCCGAGCACCAGGCCCTCCGATCAAGGCTGGCCCAGAAGAGGCGTCGTGTCGGTGATGAAGTTGTGGCGGCTGCTGCTGGTGATGGTCCAGATGGCACTGCGACTCCGCCGTCCGCACCGCCCTCGGCGGCTGCGGGACCAGCAACGCCGCCCGAGGCGCATGCAGCGGCGGACGCAGGGGAGGCGCTGTACAAGTTGCGGGCTCGCGCGCGTGAGCTGACTGCTGGCAAGTCTTCCAAGGAAGCCCCCCCCTCCCGGATCTGCCTAGGTGTGGCGAGGGGGTTGTTTGATGCGTAATGTTTTTGCGGGCGCGGAGCGCCCCTGTCTGAGTGTTCCGCCCAATTTGTCGCAGGGCACGCTTGAGCCAGACGCCTTCGTCCATCACCAGGCGTCGAGCCCGAGTGCACAAGAATGGATTGAATTTGTCGGGCCTTGTTTGCCTGGCGGTAGGCACCCTGGACCGTCTCCTGGGACTGCCCCGAGTGTGTCGGAGTACTTTCCTTTTCACACACCCGAACTCAGCCCTGGAGAGATTGATGTGGAACTTGTCATGCAAACGGTCAATGTTACGTCGTGGCACTCAGACTCTGGCGCTGGACGGAAGGCGTGGATTCCTCACTGTGGTGCACATGTGCTCTTCATCCAAGAACACCAACTACTGCAGCCCCAGTTGGAAGAAGCCGTCGGCTGGGCTCATAGTCATGGGTGGGAAGCTATATTGGGACCTGCTGCTCCTGGCGTTGGGCACGGTACTTCGTCGGGGGTTGGTATCTTGGTCAAGGACTCGTTGGGGTTTCATCCACCACCTGGGGGCCACCTTCTAGATCAGCATCGTTCGATTGGGGCCATCGTGCACGCACCTAGTGGGGCCCCAGTGTTCTGTTGCAGCACCTACTTGAGAACGTGTGAAGGCCTGTCCGAGTCCAATGTGGAGTTGCTCGCTGTTGTGGGCACGGTAGTTGAGCAGCTGTCGATGCCTGCCATCATTGGTGCAGGCTTCAACATGCCCCCCAGCGCACTCGCATCCTCGGGCATTGTGAGCCGGTTGCGAGGACAGCTTGTGATCCCGCCCAATGTTGTAGGCACGGGCGGAACCAGTATGTTGGATTATGTTTTTGTCTCGGCGGGGCTAGCTAAGGCTATATCGGTTGTGGAAGCTGTGCAAATATCGAATAGTGTCACACCTCCCTGTCCAGCTTCGGTTTCATGCAGGCATCGGCAGATTGCACGGGCTTGCGTTTCGTAAGCCGCCGCCACTGCCAGTGACGCCGCCGATTGGGCCAGCGCCACCGCCACCTTCATGGTCTGCAGTTCAAGCAGAAGCCGAGCATGTCCTTCAGGCATGTCGTGGTGGCGACGGGCATGATGTACAGTTTTTGCTCGATCGCCTTTTACAAGCACTGGGCTGACCTATCAGAGAAGGAGCTAGCGGGTGATCGTCAAACGGGTTCACCCTGTTGGGGAAGTCGGGGGAAGCATCCTCAGCAGCGTTGGGTCAACGTTTTGGGCCAGGACCGTCAGGCCCCCCATCGCCGGCCCCGCCTGGTCTCATTCAAATGGTTGGTAATTAAGTTCAGGCTTCGTTTGCAGCTAGATGCTGCCAGCATAGGATCCGCCCAAGCCATGCAGGTCAGACAGTTGCCGTTGGCGCCGCCGTCTTTCTTCTTGAAGCAGGGGCTGGATGTCCACGCCGACCAGCTCGCCCGCGTCCACCAGATGCTGGGGCCGCATGATATATTTGATCCCAAGGCTGGTGAAGCTATTCTTGCAGACTTGGATGAATACCTGCAGTCGTTCGCTGTCAATGCTAAAGGGCAGGCTCTCTCCGGGTGGCGTGAGTGGCTGCGCGAGTCCATCGATCAAGGCGCGCACAGAGCTCACCAGCATGTTCGAGGTGTGCCCGGGTTCAGTTTGTCGAGCCTCTGCCCCGTCTCAGCCCCGAAGAACTTCGCGCTGCCTCGCCTCGGTACTCTGCCCGCGCGGCGACTGCCGTTGGCGGGTTTCACATGACGCACGATGCTTCTTTATCGGACGGTTCCTTATGTAGGCGTTCTCGGGGCCATGTTTTCTGTCATGGAGGCCTCTGGGCTTTTTCCTGGCCAGGTTTCCTTGGTTGTGTTGTCCCTCCTCAACAAACCTGCTGGGGGGTTCAGGCCTATCGGGCTGTTTTGCAGTAGCTACCGTCTTTGGGCCCGTTGCAGACGTTTGCGTGCAGTCTCTTGGGGGTCCACCCACAGGCGGAGGTATTTTGCTGGCTCGCAGTTTTCTTCTGCCGTGGACGTCACGCGGCGTCAGGCGCTCACCGCTGAAGGAACCGTCACGAAAGGACAAGCCAGCTGCACGCTTATGGGGGCCTTTTACAAATGCTTTGAGCTCGTCAATTTGTCGAGGCTCCTGCAGCGTTGCCACGATTTTTATTTCCCTGTCCAAATCGCCAGGCTCGCGGCCCACGCGTGCCAGCTTGGCCGTTTCATCCTGCTGTCTGGCACGGCGGCGGGAGCCTACTTCGTCACTAGTGGAGCGGTCGCTGGATGTGGGCTCGCGACCGCGATGATCCGCATCTACTCCACCCCAGCGTTGGATTATCTGGTTCTCGGCCCCAGGGTCTCCCTCGATGTCTATACCGACGATTATGAGCTCAGCTGTTCTGGGACCCCCACCGACGCGGCCAAGTTGCCGCCGGCCGCTGCTGCCGACCTTCGGAGAACTATCGAGCAAGATATGGGGGCTACTATCTCTGCCGACAAAGCCTCCCTCGTTGCCTCGCCAGATGCGCTCGCTAAACTGGTCGGGGACGCTGTGGGGGGCCTCGTTGGGTCCGTGGTCAAAGCCGCCGTCAACCTGGGGATCGTTTTTGCTCCTGGGCAGTCTCGGGGGTTTCCTGGGCGCGGGCGAAAAGTTGCTGACCGCAAGCGTGCTTTCAATAAGAAGATGCACACGCTCAAGCGAGCCAGACGCTCTCTCGGTAAGCATGCCGTAACAGTTTTTTTACCGCTGGCCCCCTCCCCTCGTTGACCTTCGGGCCCGAAGTCCACGGGTTATCCACGCGTGAATGGGAACGGCTGCAGGTTTCGGCTGCCAGCACCATGCCACCTTCAGCCACGATGCGCTCTAGGACTTCTGCCCATTCTGTCCCAGGGCCCGACCTGGTACCCCGCCGCGGCGCCCATCGTTCGCTGCGCCAAGGAGACGCGGGGCAACCCAACCAAACTCTTCCCCTTGTTGTTGCCTTGGGACGTGTTGCGGTACTCTTGGACCGCGGTGTTCGGGGGCCTTGGGCCTAAAACTTGGCGAGGGGTCCGTGGGCCGTTGAGGGCTATGAAACTGGCCCTCGCCAGGATCTCGTGGTCCATGCCTCACTTCTGCACGTTAGTTGATGACTTCGGAACTGAAGTGTCTCTCACTGCCCCCCCCCCCCCGCTCTTTTGAAGAAGCGTTTGAGGTCCGAAGTGCAGAGGGCCCATGAACGAGCTAGTGGTGCGGTTCTCCTGCCTCGCACGGTCGGCGCTCGAGTTCGCCCACTTCAAAGGGGCCGTGCTAAAGCGGTTGCGTGTAATGCAGTCTGGACTTTGTGATCTGTGTCGAGCTGCTCCTGCCATTATGTTACATAGGTTGTGGTTTTGTCCTGCCTGTCACAGCCAACGTGAAGAAGTTTTTGAGAGCTGCAAAACCAAGTTTAGCCAGCTCCCGCCGCCTGACTTGAGTTTCGACAGCAATGATGACGATTTCTCGTTGTGCACAAGGGGTATTTTCCGACACCCTGGTGATGCGTTCCTTTTCCCAGCACGTGATGATGTTGGAGATGTTGGCCTGGAAATTCGGTAGGCCCGTGACCCTTGCTGTCGATCCCTTGACATCCGTGGCCACATCTTCGTGGACGGCTCGCGCGTGTCCCATTCGGCCAAAGAACTCTCCAGGGCTGGATGGGGGATCGTGGTTTTGGGAGACGATGGACAGGAAGTGCGCCGCATTAGTTGCCCCCTCTGGGCCCCCAATCCCCAGACGGCCCAGGGGGGGAATTCGGGGCTTACGCCGTTGCCGCCATGCACGCCCAGAGAGGCAGCTCTATCTACTCTGATTGTAAAAATGTGGTTGTGCAGGCCAATGAGCCGCTTCTCCGTGCCCTGTCCTACAAACGTGTTTATTCTGGCTTCCTCCTACACACCCACAGGAAGCTCGTAGACGGAGTTTTTGTCAAAGCGCATGTAGAATAATCGGATGATCTCACTGACTTGCAGCGATTTTGGAAGGTTGGGAACGACCTTGCCGACTCAGTCGCTAGGAGCTCCCTAGCCCGTCATCCCCAGCCCAGCGCCGATGACGTTGCTTGGCTTGATCGATGTGTTGTGGTTGCTCTGTGTGTGATGCGTCTTTCGGCTGCCCTCATGCCCGAATGGCCGAGGCTCGACCTCAAAGGTGTCAAGCTTGTGGCCAAACCCCCTCGTCCTAGAGCGCCTGTGGTCGGTCATGAATGGACTCGGGTTGCACATGTTTGGCAGTGTATCGAGTGCCTGCGGGTTGCTACAGGTGAGCCGCAAAGAGGTGTGACAGGCGGCCCGTTAGGAGGACTTGGCCCACTTGCTTCGGGCTCGTGTCCTAGGGATTCTGAGCTTGACGCTGGTGTTCTGGCTAGCCTTGGGCACAATTGCATTGCTTTGCTTTGCTCCGACGGGGCGGCCCTCACTGTGTGCATGCGGTGTAAAGGGTGTTCGTCCCATGGCCATCCCCGCAACCTGCTGCATAGCTGTGACGGCTCTGCTCAGAGTGCGGGCGCTCGCTATGCCTGGCGCATGATTTGTGAAGGCCGTCACCCCAAAAGGGATGGGATCGGGGTTGAAGTCGGTCCCTTGTTTGGGCCTGATGATTCGTTCCCTGCGTTTGATCCTGCCCCCTGTCAGTCGGAGTCGACGAACAGTGAAGATCGCACCGCCAGCATTGTCAAGAGGCTGCTGGCCGCAGCCTCTGGACCAGTGCAACCGCCAACTCACTGCACGCCTGCTTCAGGCCTCGGGTGTAGTTCGTCGCCCACGCCCCCGAGGCCCCCTACGGTGCCGTTTTTTTGTCGCAGGGGTCAGGCTCTTTCAGCTGCTGAGGTGCGGACCCGGCGGCCTGGAGGGCAGTTGGGGGAGCCCCGCTCTTTGCGCGAGGGGCACGAGGCCGCTCCTCCGGTAGCGGTGGGGGGCGGGACGTGGGGGTGACGGTCGGGCGGGATCGACGTGTCAAGGCCAAGCCGCGCGCGGTGCGAGCAGGCGCATGTTGTGCGCCTTTGGCCCCCTCTGCGCCCTCCTTGTCGGGGACTCTGCGGCGCAGGGACCCCTGCTTGCTCCCTCCTCCTCGTCCTCCTCCTCCTCTTCCTCCTCCACCTCCTCCTCCTCCGCCTCCTCCTCCTCCTCCTCCTCCTCATCCTCCTCCTCCTCCTCCTCCTCCGTCCTCCTCCTCCTCCTCCTCCTCCTCCTCCTCCTCCTCCTCCTCCTCCTCCTCCTCCTCCTCCTCATCCTCCTCCCCCTCCTCTCCTCTCCTTCGCCCCTCCTCTCCCGGGTCGGACGAGAGGGGAGGGAGTAGAGGGAAAGGGGCGGAGTGCGAAATCTGCTGCGGGCAGCTGGTGTCGCTACCTCGCCGCCAGGAGCCTTTGCCCTCGATGCGTGGACGCCTCCCGGCGCCAGGAGGCGCCAGGAAGACCAGTTGCTTCAGCCGATTCGCTACCCCGCTCTTTGCTGGCCCCCTGTTCGTCCGAGCCGACCCTCCTGGTGGGACCATGCTGGCGTGAAAAGCGGGGGTGCAGAAGGCCCGTCAAGTAAGACACCGATATTGCGAAGGCCTTACGGCCGGTGCCGCCGACCCTGAAGGGCGACGACGACGGTGACGGCGACGGCGGCGAGGGCCACAACGACGTCGACGTCGTCGACGACGACGACGACGCACCGATATTTGCCAGCAGGTGGGGGAGGAGGGAGCGGCGGGAGAAGGAGAGAGAGAGAGAGAGAGGGTGGGGGGGAGCGAGAAAATAAGACAGGCACACACAAGCAACAAGAGCCTGCTGCAACCACCACCACCCCAGCCGCCCCTCCTTCCCGCCTTGCTTGCTGCGGATGGTGGTGCTGCTGCTCCTCCTGCTCAGATCATACTTCTCACAGACTGGCAGGCGGTTGGAGTAGCGGGCGCGGGAGGGAGGGGGCCCTCCACGTCCCGTCCGTCCTGCCATGTGTTGCCGACCCCGGCCCACCCGCCTTCCGAGAGAAGGAGGTAGTAGTGTGCATATTCGGCAGGTTCGTGTCGTGTCGACGCGGCAGCGACCCCGCCGCGGGCGTCCAAAGCTGAGCGTCGCCAGTGCCCCGGAACTGGCCGACATGTAACGATCTGGCGATCGAGAGGCCCCCGACCGTTCAAGGTTGAACGGCTCCCGCGGTGTCAGGAGCCATCGCCGAGGTCGTTACGATACGAACTTGCCGTAGTCCGCTGCCTTGTCCGACATCTCCACGAGCCCCGGCTTCTCTCCGGCGCCTGCCGCTGCTCCGGCAGAGAGCACAAGGGCGCCCCGCCAGCGGAGATTGTCCCAGGCAGTGATGCAGCGGTATCCTGGATACCTGGAGGAGGCGGAGGAGGAGGAGGCGGAGGAGGAGGCGGAGGAGGAGGCGAAGGAGGAGGGGGAGGAGGAGGAGGAGGAGGAGGAGGAGGAGGAGGAGGAGGAGGAGGAGGACCAGGAGGCTCTCGGGGGGCGCGGAGCGGACGTTGAAGAGCCACGCCTCGGGGCCCAGGCCTCCGACGGTGTGACGTATTCGATCGGGCGGCTTCTCCTCGAGTGCAGCCTCCGGGGCCCGGCATGGGGCCCAGGGGCCCACATCGGCAACAGTGCGATTAGTCAGAGTGAAACAGCATGCTGTCGTACAGCGGCTTTCCACGTCTGGAAGCAGCCGCTGTCTCTGCCCAGAGCGGCGGACAGACGATGTTCGTCTCCGCCCACGGCCCTGATCGCATGCATTCTGGTTCTGTGCCCCCAAGAAACTCTTGGACGCCCTCGCTTTCGCACGCCGGCTGGCCGCGCCAGCTGCGTTGACGAAGGGCTTGCGCACGGCATCGAAATACGGATCCGTGCGCAGCACCGTCGCAGCGCACGGCCTACACGGCACGACGCAGAATACGCTGCAGCGACGAGCATCTCGGCACTCACTCACGAGGGAGAGCATAGCTCGCACGGAGCGACGGTGGCGTGTCGGGGGGCGTCTCGCCGCACCCAGGCTCATGGAAGCTAATGCGCAGGGGATGCTCATCTCATACATTTTGGCCCCCATGTCGCTGTTAAAACAAGCTGCCCCTGGGGAAGTGGTCGGGCTGCGGACGGAACAGAAGGCACCAGCGCATGTCCGGAGGGGGTCGGAGGACGAGGAGGAGGATGGAGGACGGAGGGGGGGGGAGGAGGAGGAGGAGGAGGAGGAGGAGGAGGAGGAGGAGGAGGAGGAGGAGGAGGAGGAGGAGGAGGACGGAGGGGGCGGGATTGGGCCAGCTTCGTCCAGAGGTGGATCACCCCCCCCCCGATAGCTGCCCCGTCCAGCAGCAGCCGGGCCCGATCCGCCCGAGCGGCTCCCGAGCGGCTCCTCGGCGGGCCAGCGGCGGAGGCCGCCAACGAGCGCATCGAGGCCGAGCAGGCCCTGCGCCGCAAGGAGGCGGCCATGGCGAGCCGGGCGCAGGAGGCCGGGGGCGAGAGCGCCCCGCGTCTGGCCACGCGCAGATCAAACGACGCGAAGATCGGGACAAAATCGGATCGGGATAACTCGAAATCTCTGAGGATCGGCGGGTTCGGAGGATGTATTGGGCGCCGCGGCCGCTCCAGAGCGTTCCGGAACGCTCTGAGAGCGCTCCGGAACGCTCTGGAGCGATTTATCCCGATCCTAGCCCTGTTTTAGCAGAGGGGGGCGGGGGGGAGTCAGGAGCCGGGCGAAGGCTGGCAAGTCCGTGGCTGCTAGAACGGAGTTCCGGGAGTTTGTGCTCTTTCTTCCGGGAAGCAGCCTGTTTACTGCTCAGTGCGCCGAGCTTTATTCCGGGAAGTTGTTCTGTTTCTTCCGGGAAGGCCGGATTAGCAGCCACGGATTTGCTAGCCCTTGCCCAGCTTCCGAGAGAGTCTCGGGGGCGGCCAAGAGGGGGGTGATGACCAGGGGGGGCGAGCTCATGGCGTGGGCGATGATGATTCCTCAGATTTCAGGGCGCCTCTTCTTGTTTCAGTGCGTCCCTGGCCTTCCCCCTGGGCCGCACACATGCCACTGGCCATGATTTGCGCCCCCACCTCCCCCCTCTTGGACGCCCCCCTCTTGGGCGACCCCGAAGAAGGGAGGAAGGCTTTTGAGAAGCAACCCTTGCTGCTGCTTCTCAGAGGTCGCTGGCCTTCTCTACAGACGTACGGCCGGCGCCTTCCAAGAAGCGCCCTGCTTCCAAGAAAGAAGCCTTCCCCCTATCCCCTTACCCCGTTGTGCGCGCCGCAAAGGCTTGCTCTGTGCCGTCGTTGCGCTCCCGATCCAGCTTCTGAGAGGCTGAGGGGTCCCTTAGGGACGCAGGACTCGTTTCGACTCCTCCGATTCTGTTCGATCTCGGTGGCCACCGCTTCCGATTCGATTCGGCTTTGGACCCTGGCTTCTCGATGGAGGCCTCACTAGCCTGCCGATTTCCGCCGATTCGAGTTCTCCCGACTTGGCTGCCGATTCCCGCCGATCCGATTCATTTCGATCGCCGATGCGACTTAATCGATTCCATTCCTGGACTCCCCTCGGAAGGCTACACGTTGGAAAATGTACGGCTGTACTGCGGGTCCCGCCCTCACGGGGACGTTGACGGAAGGGGGACGCAGAGGAGAGCTCAAATACGCGTGGCGGTCACGGAATCCGAGCGCAAAATGTTCATGCGCAAGTCGAAGAGTTCCATGAAGACGCTTAGAAAGCAGAGTCCGTTGAAGCACACCTCCTCTTTGAAGGAACACGCGGCTCCTGCCTTCTCAGAGGGAAGAAAGAGGAAAGCCGACAGAAAGATGTGGTTGGAGGGAGTTTATGGGTTTGACGTTGCGGCCCAGCGGCTTGGATATGCAAGCAACGGCTCAGGAGTTCAGCAGCAAATATTGGTGGAACTAGAGAGCGCTATAGCAAATGACCGCATCATGGGCGCAGACTGGAGCACATCGAGTTTTGGGACACGCTGTAGGCACGGGCAAAGCTTAAGAGCGGTTCGGAACCTGGGGCCGACAAGATCACGCCAGACATGTGCAAATAGGTTTCTTTCATGGTGGTTGCCCACGTACACGATATGTTCAACGAATTTGCAACAGCGAGCAGATCGATTACACGTCGCCTTCGGGAAAATCGGAGGTTGGGGGTTGCCCCCCCGCCGCTGCCACACGAGCCTCCTCCAAAGCAACCTTAACCTCTTCCTCCAACATCTTGATTTTGATGCGATGCAGGTGCAGCGCATCAAAAGCCTCCCGTGCAACTTTCTCCTTCTTAGCCAGAGCTTCTTGAGCATCCAACAGCAACTTCGCCTTGCGATCCACCTCAGATGGGGCGGGCTTGAGTTCTTGAACCATGGCCAAGCTAGCGATCCCCAGCTTAGCCCTCCATCGGAGCCCAACGAGCTTGTCCCGAGACGAAGGGTCGAGCACCTGGCTGGCAGCAAGGAGCTGGGGCTCGGACATCTCGAGCCAAGGGGCTTGCTGTTCAGGAGTAAGAGTATGCTTCTTCGCACCTTTAGACTTTCCTGAAACACCGATTTGCCCCGCAGCACGATCTCCCCTCTTTGGTGGACCCTGGGCCCAGTACCCACGAGGACGCTGAACATGCTAAGGAGGAGCACCGAGCGACAAGAGAAGATTTGGCCCCGTACATCCTGCCTGCCTGCACTTCGCACTGAAGCCGAAGTTGAAGTAGTTACAAGACCCGCACTGCCACCCATTAGCCTTGGTAGCCTTGCGCGCCCCTCTACAGTCACGAAAGTTGGTTGGGGTCGCGAACCCAAGGCCAGTGAGTCTCAAAGGACCCTGAACACACGCCACAATCTCTCGAGCGAGGTTGGAAGTTCAGGAGCAGGCCCCTTGAGCCAAAATGGCTACGGACCTCCTCCTCCTCCTGCTCCTCCTCCTCCTCCTCCTCCTCCTCCTCCTCCTCCTCCTCCTCCTCCTCCTCTTCCCCCCATGAAGCAACGCCCGGCTTCATCCCGATCCGAGTTTGCCCTGTCCTTGGCTCCGTTTTGTTGCGGGCGCCCCTGGAGATCCCAGAGCACGGAGCGGTCGCCCGTCGTAGTTGCCAGGTGGCAACCCGGAGGCCCCAGAGGACCGCCCCAGCTGTTGGGGTCTGCCCCCAGCGGATCGGTACGATCGAAACGGATACGGCAGGACCGGTTACGAAGGCCAGCAGCAGTGCCTGTCCATTTTGGGCAGGATTCGCTGTCGGTGTCCCCGCGGACGTTGTCAATTTGAGACAGAAGGCCGCCAGCCCAACAGCGACGGGCGCACGTGCGACGACGGGGGCATCCCTCGAATCACCGAGGCCTGGAGGTTGGCCCAGAGCGGAGCCGTCGGGGGGTCTAAGGTGGCCCAACATTGGTCTCAGCCAGCAGGAAGGGGGGCGAGGTTCGAGAAGGCAGGAAGGAGCAGGAAGGGAGGTTCGAGGTTCTGGAATCGAGAAGGTTTCTTGCCTTTTTCCGGGGAGCCGATCCGACGGGCGCACGTGTAGTCACGGAGGGGTCCAGGTTGGCGCCAGCACCAACGCCGGCGAGCGTCTCCACCGAGGCGAGGTGGTCGCGGTCTCAGCGATGGTGGCCGTGCCCGGGCCGCGCAGGTGACCGACTTGAGATGCTGCTCCCGGCGGGGCGGTTCCTCGGGAGCCGCTCCGGCGGACGCGTGCGGCCGCGGGGGGGGTCCCAGTCCTCCGACGATCCGGCATCCTTGATCCAGGCGGTGTCCTCGAACTCGGCCCCCGGGGGGGGGCGCGTGTCGGGCAGGGCTGGGAAAGCGATGCAAATTGTTCCAGAGCGTTCCAGAACGCTCTGAGAAGGCCGCGGCGCCCGATACATGTTGTCCCTTTCCGATCCGATGTTGTCCCTGTCCTGGCCCCGGCTTGCATCAAGAGGCCCTGGGGACGTCAAACAATGGAACCGCGACGACAAAATGCGCCCCTGCGGAGGCGGTCGGGACCCCTGGAGCTGCGGATTGGACAAGCATAACTATCGGCGGGTATCAGGTGTTCCCTCGAGCCCCTCCCCCTTTCGTCGGCCAGTTATCCTCCCTTAACCCTTTCGTCGGCCAGTCATCCCCCCCCCTTTCGTCGGCCAGTCATCGCCGATAGGGGCCTTGTAGCCCCCCCAGCCCAGGAACGTTCGGCTTCGCTATCGGGGGCCTGTCGGCGATCTGTCGGCGATGTATGGCCGATTCAAGCTCGGCGTTTCCCCCCTGAGCTGGTCCCCCCCCCCACCTTGCCCCTCAAAAGGGACGTCACCCTTAGAGGGGTCACCACCGCCTTCAGTGCCGGGAGGCGCTGGGAAAACCAGCTACGCAAGCTGACTCGCCGCCCCCCCCTTGATTATGGTAGGTTCGCGTTGTGTCGACCGGCGGCGCCCGCGACCCAGAATCGGTCGATGTTGAACGATCTGACGTTCCGAAAACGGCCGATCGTGCAAGGTTGAACGATCCCCGCGGAGTCAGGAGCCAACACGAATTTGCTGTATCAACTCCCTTGCGTCCAGCCCGATCCGACGGACGTGGGTGCTGCCGCAGGCTGTGGTCCCGCGGGGAAGCCCCTGGGTGCGTGCCAGCCCAGGCCCTGCAGGAGCGCATGAAGTCCGACGTGCAGCAGCAGCTGGACAAGCTGACCGTGGTGGTGCCCGAGCTCGACGCGACCACGGGGGGGCCCTCCTCCAGCTCCCCCCGGGCGTCTGACGTCTTGAGGCAAAGGTCAGGGCGGTCGTGTGTCCGCCGTGTTCTGCTCGGGGCCCCCGCCGGGCCCCGAGGCCGTCAAAGAACTATCAGGAGGGAAAAAACACACAGACACAATTAATCGTCGATTTCCCCAAAAATATAGGAAAATATGGGAAGTGGTGGGGAAGACAAAAACCCAGAAAATATAGGAAAATATGGGGAATCTTTTTATGTGTGTGTATTTATTTGTGTGTCCCAGTTTTCCTTCAAACTACTCGGGACGAGAATCCGGCCCTGGAGAAAGGGGTCGGCACTTGCGAAGAGGGGCGCATTGAAAAAAACAGATGTCGGACGGCGGGGCCCCCCTCTGCCCTCTCAGTCTCCTACCTGTTTTTCTCGTGTTCCTTTCTCCTTCACGGTCCCTCCCTTCCCGCCGTCCTCGCCTCCGATGGTTGTTCCCTTCTCCCGCCCATCGCATATTACGTATTCTCCTCCACCTCATCTTCCTCCGCCCACCTATCTTTTCTATGTTCCCCTCTCCCTCTCTCGCTCTCTGCCTCTCTCTCTCTCTTTCTATCTCTTTCTCTCTCTCTCTCTCTCTCTCTCCCTCGTTCTCTCTCCCTCTCTCTCTATATATACATGTCTCTCTCTCTCTGTTTCCCTTTCTCTCTTGGTGGCGCTAGGAATGCGTTTCTTCTTTGAGGGGTGAGGCGGTTCAATCGATTCCGTTTATGGGGGGTCATAGTTTTCTGTCGTGTGGGGCCATACACATAGATACACCCTTTGTGACATCCGAAAAGGAAACCAGTGGATCCAGAGGGACTCTTTTATTTCTGGAGCTCTTCCCCCAGGGCCCAGCCCTCCTGTGCGAGGGGGAACGCCAGGGACCGTCGGCAGCAAGCTTGTGTCTGGGCGGCAAGCCAAGCTCCGTCGGCAGCACCTCCTCGTCCTCGTTCGCCTCCTCCTCCTCCTCCTCCTCCTCCTCCTCCTCCTCCTCCTCCTCCTCCTGGCTGGGACTGGGGTCGACCTTCAGCGAGGCCTTTCACTTTACGGGTTCAGCTCTCGGGAAGAGGCTGAATCGCTCGGCGCTCGAGCGCAAGAGCGCCGACGGCAGGTTGTGCCGCCCGAGGAGGACTTGGACCCTCCCTAACTCGTTTGGAGTTTGTTTGATGCATGTTTAATGTGGTGGCACCTTTCTAGCCGTTGCCGAGCTCCTCTTCCTCCTCCTACTAGTCGAACGGTTTGTCCTCTTGCCGTGCCTGCGTCTCACCCTGTCATTCCCGCTGCCGTGTTGGATATTAAGACTACTTCTGCCGCGCCCGCTTTACAAAGTCGGAATCGCTCTATGCGCGAGACATCCGGCCACGGGAAGCCACCTTCACCTGCCTACAGCCTCACTTCTAGTTGGTGGCGGAACTGGTTCGCCCCTGCTCCAGTACCACGGCCGCCATGTCCCGCTTCGATGGCCTTGGCTCCCACCCTCCGTCTCTCTACGTCGCGACGCTTGCAGGAGACGCTACTCATGGATACGTTGGGACTGGACCGGCTCATCCGCAGGAACACTACGTCGTGCCGCTCTACATGCCGATCTACATCCCGCTCTACAACAGCCTTCAACATCATCGCGTTCGTGCACCTCTCCCCGTTCACTGCGGCAGGAAACGTTGTTTTAGGGTCCGGCGGGGCATCCTCCCATCCGCCAGGACCACGGACCGAGGACATGCACAACCATAACCTCGTCAACGACAACATCACCAAGATCTACAAGGACCGTTTTGCGACCCATCCCGGGCATGTTCGGACTGTCCAGGCAGCTCGCGGACCCCAGACTGACTGCCCCCGCCAGTGGGGGGAGCCTCAGGTGTTAGACAGTTGCCCGGCACAACGATCACATCCGCGGTGTCAGAACGATGTCCCGAGCTTCTTGGGAGCGTTTCGAGAGCCCAGGGATAAACAATCAGAGCACAGGCATCTGGCGACTATGTCGCCAGTGCCGAGCGGGGACGCAACGGGGAGCACGGGAATGGTGTTCTCAACCCCCCGAGGCAGCGCAGCGGAGGGCATGACTCCGAGGCGTCACGCCTCGGGGCCCGACCTTTCGCCGTGCCCACCCAGACCCGACCCGCCAGCCGGGCAGGGCGGGCTCCCGATGCGCACTCCTCTTAGACGATCGTGTAATTTTCGGCGCCCTGCGCAGTGACCACGCGACGAACGAAGAGCATCCCCGTGACTGTGTCGCAGGATGCTCCAACGACTGTGAGTACTACAATGACACGACAGAAGCAGACGCCCAAGACGCTGACGAGGAGGAACACAGCTGGGGCAAGTTCCCTCGGTGACTCGTGCAACGCCGCTTCAGGATCCTCAGTCTCCAGCGCCAGTTCGACCGGCGGAAGCAGCTATGTACACTCCGGACAGAAGACCATCATAGTCGACATGTGTGCCATCGCAATCTGCATCACCTGCATGGACGCAGGTGGCGGCAGCGGCAACATGCGCCACCTCCGTTCCTGGGGGTCCGAGCACCAGGCCCGCGCGCCTTTCCAAAAATGGGCGCGCGAGGTGATGATATGGTCAGAGGCGAACCCGGATTTCAGCGAGTTTCGCCAAGCGGTCTACGTCTCGTCGCATCTTACCCAAATATCGCGCGAGTGCGTGGACGAATGGCCGCCAGGTGTCCTGACCCAGGGAGGTCTCATCAACGGTAACCCAGTGCCACCGGTGACCTTCCTAATGCACATCTTGGGCGAACGATGGGGCCAGCTGGGCGAGGAGGAACGCACCTCGGCAACATCGGTTCTGATGAATTTCAGCCTCGCCTTGGGGCCCCTCGAGCCGTCTTGAAGCGTCGAATTCTTGAAAAGACGAAAAAGCTAAAGTTTTTCCCAAACCCGCGGTACATCAAAGATTCTGCCATTCCTAAGCCCTCTTCTGGAGCTTCTTGGAGTTGTTTGTTTATTGTTTTTCTCCTGCGGTTTCTTAGGGTCCTTTCAGGGCGTTTGGGAGCCATCTTGGGCGTCGTGGAGCGATCTTTGGGCGATTTTGGGACCTCTTGGAACGTCTGGGGGCCCGCTGGCTTTTGAAATCGTCACGCGATCGGCCCCAAGAGCGCCCAAGGGATCTGGGAATTTGAGCTGTGGACCCCGTAGAGAACGTTCGCAGTTCCCCAAAACGGAGAGTTTGAAAAGGGCTTGAGGACACTCCCACTCGCGCTTCAGGGCACGGGTGGCTGATACACGCACACAAATATGTTTATACGTATGTATGTATATGTGTGTATGTATGTATGTATGTATGTATGTACGTAGGTATGTATGTATGTATGTACGTATGTATGTTTGTATGTATGTGTTTGCACGTATGCATGTTTGTATGCATGCATGCATGTACGGATGCACGCCTGTGTGTATGTTTGTTTGTTTGTTTTTATGTATGTCAATACATGTATATGTATTTGTGTATATCAGCATATGCACACGCACATACATACATGCATACCGACCTACCTGCACACACGAATGCACGCACATGCGTTGTCGGGTTCTGGAATCTCTGAACCCCAAGAAAGACATCATTTGTTAAGGAGACATGTCTGAATTCCGCCGGCTCCCGCCAGCCTTCCGCCGCACTTCGCTGGCGGAGGCAGCCTCGTTTTACCTCTGCCGGCTTCCGCGGACCTCCCGCCGCCCTCCGCCGAGGAAGAGAGAGCAACTTCCTTCGACCCTCGAAGGCAAGGCCCTAACTGCAACGCCTCATATGAGCGATGCCAAAAAACGGGGTCGTTTGCGCCGACACTGGCGCGTAAGCTGCCCGCGTAAGCGCCTTGGCTTCAAGCGTAGCGTGCCGCGCTGGTGGCCCACGTAAGCCGCCACGCAAGCTCGCTGCGCCATCTCGCGTAAGACCCGCTTTTGATCGTCGCTCATATGTGCAAGGGCCGCCCTCCGGGACCAGATGGCCCGCGTCCCGCTCCGGCTCCCCCGCCGCCGCCCCGGTCGCGAGGCGAAGCCGACGCAGGCATCGCCAGTGGCCACGGCGCGCGGGGTGGGCGGCATTGCAGGGTTCCTTTCGGTGGCGGCCACGAGGGGGGAGGGGTACTGCTTATGCCTTACGGCCGGTGCCGCCGACCTTGAAGACGACGACGACGAATAGGAGGAGGAGGAGGAGGAGGAGGAGGAGGAGGATGGATGGATGGACAGCGCCTTGAAAGGTCGAGAGGTGACAGCACCAAAAGCATGTGGGGGGGATCGACCCGAGTTAGACCGCCCCTGAGGTCCTTGCCTCTTCTTTAGTTTTAATTCTGGCAGCAAGAGCCGCCATACGCTGCTCGTACGAGGGGGCCGAGGGAGAGTCCGAAAACACCCGCGGGACTGAGGTAACACACAGCTCGGGCTTATCGTCCGTATCACGAGCAACAACTAAGTGTGCTACAGGCAACGCCTTGTCCAGCACATCTCGAATCTTTGGGTTAGGGCCAAGCCCCCTCCGAAAACGGCTGAGGACATCCAGTCCTTTACGCGTAGGCTTGCCACAGACCTCAGCGAGCTTCACGGCTCTCCCTTGAGACCAACCCCCGCACTTTAAACACAGAATCTGTTGCTCTCGACAGGGCCCCAGGACAGACTCCGACCGCGGAACCTCAAGAGCCGAGCCCGACACAGCGACGAGCAGATGCCCCAGGGGATTTCGCAGCAGCTTCCGGAGAGCAGGAGGCGGACCCCTGCAACCGAACATGGGCCTGTCGGGTCGATCACACCAACCAACAATACCTGCATTGCATTCCAAGTTCGGTTCTCCTCCAGAGATGCCAGGTCTTCTGCTGGCGGCTTCTCCCCTGGGTGGTGAAAGCGGCCCTCTTCCAACGCACTTCGTTCTTAAAGAGGGGTAAGATTGCAGCAGCAAGCTGTACGAACGCATCAGCTCGCTTCTGATACAAATCAACACGGTCCAAAAACGTGGGCAGGGGCCGCGGGTGGCCCTCAAGGGCCTTCTTTGCGTGCTCGTCTACAGCACGATTCGCGAAACCAAACCTGCGATCGTCGCCTTCCAACTCCTCGAGAGCAGAAAACTCACGATGGGCCTTTACATGGAAGGTCGACAGAAACTCCGTGCCTGCTAGCTCATGGGCAAACCGCCTCGCACCAGCATATTTATTGGATCCAGCGAACTGCTTCCAAAGAGGCCTCTGGGTTTGACAAATCACGGCTTTACAATCCAGGGCCAGGGACGTGGGACGATCTGCTACCTGCCCGACTAAAGCCGCCCCCGCATGTTCCGCCATAGCAGGGGTTTGGGGGAGACCCCCAGGCACAATACCCCTGAGGATGGCCAAGAGACGCTCGCTGCCTGGCTCCATGAGCGCAATCGCCCACGAAGCTCGGTGGAGACAGCGAAGGGCCTGCTTCGTGCAGCTCCCGTCCGACGCCATCTCCAGCTGCACAACATCTCCTGCAAGCGCCGCAAGATCCTCAGGCTGCATATTCAAATCAGCTCCTGTACCGTCGAACATGTCACAATGGGAATGCGAGGCAGGAGGGGGCACATCATCATCAGAGAACGTGAAAAGCCCACGAGTGAACACAGGATCATCGCTGTGTGCCCCCTCCTCTAAAATTTCCGACGGGATCCCAAGCTCTCGTCGGGCCTCCACAACCTCTGGTCGCTCACAAGTGTACAGCCTATGGTGCAACGTGTCACGCTGGCCGCACACACACACACACATGCCATCAGTTAAGTATCCAGCATCACACGCACGAGCTTCGGTCCAAGTCGCATCCGCGGCGCAGGACAAAAGGAGGAACTGTTGCTGCCGAGTGTGATGCTTACTGCTCGTACACATGCAATTGCGCACAAGGTCGAAAGTAGCGCGCGTGCCCTGCACATGTCCAAGCCTACGTGCAAGACGAAACTCTGCCTCTCGTTGCAAGCCCTCTCTCAAAAGGTCGAGAAGTAGGCGAGGCGGGGTCTTGCTTAAATCAACGTTGCACCCCCAATGGTCGATCCACTGCGTTCCTGACACCACTTTCCAGCCAGCACGACGAGCCGATAACGTGGCACGAGTCAAGGGGCCACGGCTGGATTTCCAATCACCAGCATCGCTGGCCTTGGCCTGCTCCCAAAGTTGAAGCAGCTCTTGGAAGGGAATCAGGGAACGAGTGGGATTGACCTGGGAATTCCACAGCATTCGACACCATTGAAGGGCAGGACCAACTGCTGCTCGAGTGTCCCACTCTCCATACAGCACAAGCTTCGCAATTGCACTTGTCCCTCCGTGAGACGGGGGCAACCTTCGAGCTTGCGTCCTTCGCACAGTGTTAAGCTCAGCTTCAGAGAACCCTAAGACCTCGGAGCCGTACGACGACGCAGGAGCAACACCCGTGCGAAGGACCTGAGACAAACCTTTCTTGGCCTCCTTGTTAGGAGCTCGAGAATTAAACCTGCCGGTCTTTTTTACTCTAAGCTTCATTCCCCAGAGGCGGGACCGCTGTTTTACACGCGCACGAGCAGACGAACGATTTGCACCAGCACTGTCATCAACGCCGAGATAAGTGACTGAGTGCTTCACGACTTTGGGCTCAAGCCCTAGGCCTCGCACGACGTCCCGTGCAAGTGAAACCTCGCTGGCGACAACGGCAACCTTATCATTGATCACCGCATTGATCTGCTTACTCGCGTGATAAAAAGCACGGCCTGCAGAGATGGCAAGTTGCAATGCACTCTCTCTCTCTCTCTCTCTCTCTCTGGGAGCTGGATATCTATATGCCCGAGTCGTCTATATAAGACGTGAAACGAACAAGAGGAGGCTGACTGGCAACAAACACATCAAACGCTTTAACTGCATGAACCTTGATGCAGATGTCATTGAAGCAGTCCCCAGAGGGTAAACCGAACTCAGCGTGGGCGACCCCGTCAGAGTGATGCTGCCTGAGGCGCAACACCCGAGGAGCCCTCCACACATTGAATACCAGTTTCAAAAATGCCGTGGGTACCTTGAATTCGAGAAACTTGTCCCGAAGCTCGAGAAGGGGAATCGTCTCATAGTACTTACTACAATCTGCAATTAGGAGTACACTGAAGCGGTTGGAGGTCACATCGGCCTCCGCTCTCGCTGCTTGTGCCCACGCACATTCCACAGAACTCCTCCCCCGACTCGCCCCCCAGTACCCACGCTCCACCTCCTCCAAGAGAGCACCTAGCATGGGCCTCCTCAGCCTCTGCCAGATGCGGTACATACCGCTATAGAGCACAATTAGCCTGTGTCCAGTCGATGGTTTCGGCAACATTGGCATTAGCACCCACAACAGCTGTTTGGGTAAGAGGCCGATCGCCTCACAGCACTGCCACAAACCTGCTAACATATCTAAGCCATCATCATCGAGTAGCAGGAAATGCCGTGGATGAAACTGATCTAAGGACCTGGCCGTAGTCTCGGAAAAGCTCTGAATAACTTTGCGCACTTCCCCAGGATCGGCCCGAGGAAAGCTGGACCGATCTGGGATCCAGGCAACAGGTGGGGTGGCGGTCGCTCGCCAGAGCTTGCGATAAATCTGCAGCTCGTGCTGCACTACACTGTGGGGGTCAGCGCTGGAGGAGGGGGATTAAGTTGGAAGGGGGCAGGAGAAGGCGAAGGAAATGTTCCCCATGTAGGCCGAGGGAATCGTTGCAGAGACAGACAGGGAGCCTCGTGGCCTGCGGCCCTTCCCGCCGCCGTGCTGGGTTTGTGGTTGAAAGGCATATTGGATGTTTTCGGGCCTGTTGGGGCCTCTGTTGGGCCTCTTGGGGATCTCTTGGGGGTCTCTTGGGGGCCTTTTCGGGCCCCATCGAGGGGTTCGTGGGGCCTTCCAGGGGCTTCTTGGGGCGGGAAGCTCGAAATGTCGGTTCGTGATCCTTTTCTTGGGCCTGCTTGGGGCCCTCTTGACGGGTCTTGGCGCTTTTTTTGTCTCCCGGACGCCCAGGGGCGGATGCGCATCTGCCCCCCCCCCCCCCCCCCCCGGGACCCTTCCCGGGACCCCCCCCCCTTCGGCGGGGGAGGAATCAAAGGGAACAGGCGTCCCTTCGACTTAAGTACGACGTTGCTACGGTTTTCTCTCGCTGGCAGGCTTGAAGAGGAGGGCGCAGGGAAAGGGGACGACGGAGACGCAGGGGAAGAGGACAACGGATGTGTCGACTGAGCGCACGCCGACAGGGGGTCCACACGCCTACAGGGTCGGTGGATTCTGACGGGAACCATGACTCAGAGGAGGAAGAGGTACCCGTACCTCTTCCCCGTACCTCGTTTTCCCATGTGTGGGCCTCCTGTGAGGCCTGGGAGGCCCTCGTCGCCGCTGCTGGATTCGCTTCGAAATTCTGGTCAAAACGCGCCCGTGGAGAGGTCCAGGGAGTAGCGGTATCGGTACTCCAGATCCATTAAGCACCCTCCCGTGCCACCCTGTCCGACGCCCCTCGCCCGCCCCCCGACGCGCCCCAAACCCACTCCCTCTCGCTCCCCAACCTCCCCACGCCCCTCGAAGGACAGCGGTTTCCTACCCCCCACGCGATCCCCCCCCCACGCTTGGTAAGATGTCCCGGCGTCTCTTCTTGTTTCAATGCGTCCCCTGGGCCGCGCACGTGCCTCGGGGCATGATCTGCGAGTCCTCCCCATCCTTGGGCACCCCCCTCTTGGACGCCTCAGATCGCGTCGACTCCTCCGACCCGATGCGGTTCGAATTCGACGGTTTCCGATTCCGATTCGATTGGATTCCAGATTCCGATGTTGATTCAGATTTCTCAGCGAAGGCCATACTAGCCTGCCGTTTTCCGCCGGCTCGGTTTTCCTTTTGACCTGGCTGCCGATTTCCGCCGATCCGATACACTTCGATAGCCAATCCTGCTTCTCGACTCGATCCTGGGCTCTCCTGGCAGTGGGCGGCAGCGGCCGTGCGGGAGGGGTCAGGGCCAGCGTTACGGGGAATAGGCTCAGGGGGGTGCAGCGACCCCCGATCGCCCGTCGATCGCCGAGGGGGTCCCGGGGGGCTTCCCGGAGGTGCTCGGCGCTTCCTGCAGGCGTTCCTGCAGGCGCTTCCTGCAGGCGCACCCGAAGGCTCAGATTTACCCTCGATTTCCAGTGGGGTGGGGGTCGGGAAACGTCGAAAAAACACATGTGGAACCCTTGCCCCCCCCAACCCGAAATTCGGGTCTTCGGGTTGGGTTGGGGTGGTCTGGGAGGTAGTCCGCCTCGGGGTGCGCTTCGGCAGCCGCGCCCAGCCGAGGGCGGTCCCGGGGGCCGCCGGGAGCGCCCCGCGCGGCCGAAGGGCGGCCCGAGGTGGGGCCCGGAGGCCGAGGGCAGGCGGCAGAGGCTCTCGGCGGGGGCTGGGCGCATCGACCCCCAGGCCTTCAGTGGCTCCAAGATGCCAGAGGCTCGGCGGGGGGGCGCATCGACCCCCAGGCCTTCGGTGGCTCCAAGATGCCACAATAGTTATGGGCTCCAGACAGCTCACGATGCCTCCAGGACGCTCCAGGAGGCCCCGAAAGGGGGGCGCTCCAAGGAGGTCCAGAGCAGCGAAGATCATGGATTGCCCATTGGGAAACGCACATTTTTAGCATCGACGACTTTTCAGCTCCCACACGGGCCTGATAGCCCACCCCGCTTGGGAGCGTCCGGATTTGCTGGCGGGGGCCCATCGCCGATCTATCGGCGATGTTTCATGGATTCAGGCTCGATGTTCCCCCCCCCCTGAGCCAGTCCCCCCTCGTCGTCGACCCGCAGAGGCGTGTGCGACGAGGGGCTTGGCTTGACGCGTGCTCCAAACAGTTGGTTGGGCGTGCTGGGTGGCGCACCGAGTCTGAGACTCGCCGCTTATGCCACCATCAGACGCAAGCCCCAAAATCAATGAACCCAGCACGACTCCAATTAGGGGACAGTTTTCATTTGCATCGGCGCATCGCTTGGCATATTATTTGGCGTTGCTTAGCAGATCCCTTAGCATTGTCTGACATATTGCCTGGCATTGCGTGGCATTGTTTGGCATTGTTTGGCATTGCTCGGCAATGTTTGGCACTGCGTGGCGTTTCTCTGTATTGCTGTGCATTGCATGGCGTTGCTTGGCATTGATTTGCATTGCGTGGCACAGCTTTGCACTGCGTGGTGAGCCACCAAGGGACCAATACCAAGGAAGCAAGGAGCCAAGAGCAAGGAACCAAGGAACCCAGACCAAGAAACCAGGGGACCAAGAATTAGGAACCAAGGAACCACGATTAGGAAACCAAGGGACCAAGACCAAGAAACCAAAGACCCGTGGAACCAAAACCAGGAAGCAAGAAACCAAGGGAACCCAGGCAACGCTTTGTAAGGAAACAGAACCAAGTAACCCAAAGGAACCCCCCATGTACAAGGAAACAAAACCAAGGAACCCTAGGGAACCCGGCGACGACCCTGTCCGGTACCCACCAGTTGTTCACAACATAGTGAGAATTTGTCAGGCAATGCTTAATTGGAGAAAAGGTGCGACGAGTCACGCTCCCATGCAGGCTGGAAGAACGAGCCATGCAAGGGAACAGTGGGGAGGGAGGAGGGATTCGTCACCCCCTCCTGTGGCGATACGAGCCTGGCGGAAGCTTCGTGAAAATTGTCGGAAGCGCACGGGCAGGCTAACCCCAGCGAGTTATCTCCCCCTCGGAAATCCAAAGGAGAAATTGCGACACCCGTAGCCCAGACGCACAGTATCAGGATTTCCCAAACTCCACCGAGCACCCGCGAGCAAGTATGGCCTTGGCGTGAGTGTTGTTCAGAACGCCCTGTCTGATATGAAAACAATACCTTGCGCGCATGAGTGCACACGGCCGTGAACGCGGCCGGCCACGCCAGTCGTCGACTGTCTGACCGTACACGTAGGATCGGTCATCAGTTTCCCTCTCCTTCGTTTTCCCACGCCGTTGTACACTCCAAGTGCGTTTTCCCAGCCACCCTGCTCGGAGAGCTGCCACTGTGCACCTCGTCTCTGCCTACGCGTCCCTACGCATGCTTGGCTTCGCGTGCGTGCGTGCGTATGAGGTTACACGGCCACCGCGCCTTGCCTTCCACAGTTCGTTCACATACTGTTATGTATTGTTTCTGCATCGAGACAAGTTGCAATGTCAAAGCGCGGGAAACCGGGATCGGTCAGGAAGATTTGGCCGAGGATGTCACGGAGGCGTTTGAGAAGGTCAGCGAAGAACCGAACAAGAAGGCGGGACAATCAGCCTTGATCTTCTGTGATGCCGCCACAATTGTCGGCACAGGCGCTTCCGCTCTGGTATGGATGTTGCTTCAGGTGCTGTCACAGATTTGTGCAGGGCGACTCGCTATCAGCTCGCAGGGCAAAACGTGTCGCGGGGACGCCTCCGTGGCGCGCTAAGCGAATGTTCCCGACCGTGAGATATTCGTTCGGCCATGAAGAATTTGTGTAGCACAGAGCGTACAACGTAAGACCAGCGCGCGGACCCGGAACGGTAACTAAAGTGTGTTGACGCTACAGGGCGTAAGTTGTGTGGTGCAGTCTGCAGGAAGCTCCTCCTGGAGGGCAAGCTGTGAAGTCGAAATTGGGCCTGCACTTCGAATTTTTATTTTTCTGCGAACGAAAAGGGTACGGAAAGAATATGGGCACAATGCCGACAGCAGTTCCTGTTCATCCTGAACAGGACTCGCTGTCCGCGCCGCCGCGGCCTGGGCCCATTCGAGGCAGAAGGCCGCCTGCCCAACAGCGGCCGCTGCTGGTTTGGGACGACATCTGTTGTTGGGCACTGTGCCCCTTCTTTCCGTACCCGTGCCGGGCGTCTCGTGGGGCGCCTCGTGGGCGGCTCCCTCGTGGGCGCCTCGTGGGCGCCTCGTGGGCGCCTCGTGGGGCGCCTCGTGGGGCGCCTCGTGGGCGCCTCGTGGGCGCCTCGTGGGCACCCTCTGGGCACCCGCGGGGCGCCTCGTGGGCGGCCCCCTGGCGCCGGGCGGGTCTGCCGAAACCTCGCCCGGTGGACCGCTGTGGGCGCCCCGTGGGCGCCCCCGTGCGCTGGATGGGTCTGCCAGGGTTTCGCCCGGTGGGCAGGAGGAGGAGGAGGAGGAGGAGGAGGAGGAGGAGGAGGAGGGGCAGGGGGAGGGGGAGGAGGAGGAGGAGGAGGAGGAGGAGGAGGAGGAGGAGGAGGAGGAGGGGGAGGAGGAGCGGGAGGAGGAGGAGGAGGAGGAGGAGGAGGAGGAGGAGCGGTTGTGGACGCCCTGCGCGCTGGGTGAGGTTGCCGAGGTTTCGCCTGGGGGGCGCCTCGTGGGCGCCTCGTGAGCGCCCCTGTGCGCTGGGTGGGGTTCTGGCGAGGCTGTTCTGCCTGGGTGGGCCGCCGTGGTCCTTGGGTGTTTTCGTTATCCGACCGTCCTTTCCCCCCCTCCTGCACGTTGGCCAATTCGCTCCTCGGTGCCCGTTTAGCTCTATCGCTGAGGCAGCCAACCCTGCCTCGCCGCCAACAGAAAGCAAGTTTTGGGTTTCCGAGGCTTCGCTTTGTGGGCGCCTCCCGCGCAGGCTCGCGCGAAAGCAATGTTAGCACGCGCTCGCGCGGTGCGGATCGATAATGCGCATGCAAAAAAAACATTCGCCGGCCAAGTGCGAATGCAAGTTTAAGGGCACATCCGCGCGGCGTTCAGGCGAAAGCGGCATTTGGCTCTCTCGGGCTCGGCACCGATTCCGAGGGCGTGGCCGGGGAAAAATTTGAACCGCGCCTGAGCGGGAGCGCAGTCTCGTAAACACAATGCACGACGTTGAGAAGAAGGTTATTTGTTTTGTCACTCGCGCGCGATGTGCGCCGACTCTCAGTGAAACTAAGCGGTTGCGAGCCGTAAAAAACACAAGGCGCATTGGGGGGTTAACAGCATTTGTTCTTTAGACATGAGAGCTCAACATCCACACCAGCGACAAACAGCAAAGCAGAATCCGGGCCACGGAAACCCATTTCACCCACGCACCCAGGGATGTTGTAAGACCGTGCGCCCCCCCCCCGTTGGGCGTGCGCGCCAGTTGCGACATTTTCTGACATCTCTGCAATTTGCTTATTTGTGCCGCCCCGCTCATGTGGAGGATGACGTGCCAGCCCCCGCCGCCGCAAGCGTCAACCGCACCCAGGAGCCCCGCTCGACATGGGAGGAGAAAGTGAAGGAGGATGAGGCGTAAGACTGCGATCCGCTTCGCCCGTTCTACTTTGATTTAACCAAGGAGGTACAGATGAGGAGGAGAAGACCGAGGACATTGCATGCCTATCTCGCATTGGAAACTGCCGTTTTGATGTTGGGCCTCCGTTCTTCACCGTTACGCGAAAAGATTTGCGAAAGGGTCAGCAGGGACGTTGTGGAAGCGTGGGGGACCAGAAGTGCCCCGCACATGCATGAATTCCGCATGGCCCCGAGCCCGACCACCGTTGCGGAGTGGCGCACGAAACAGATCGCGTTGGTGCATTCGCGGAGGGGCAGCAGTTCTACATTCGCGGAGGGACAGCAGTTTTGCACAGGAGAGGACGGCCGGGCGAGCTTCACGCCAGGCGACTGCCCTCGCCAGGCAGCCGCGCGCCCTCGTCCAGAAGGGCCGCCGCTGGCCCTTGCAGGAGGCAAGCAACCTTTTGCGACGCGCGGCGGCGTCCAGGGGTCCAAGAGTTAAGTCGGGCCTGTCCCTCTACAGGAGGAGTATTCTACAGGAGTATGGGGACGATAGTTGGACCATTTTTGGTAATTCTTTGTTTATTTGTCTTGAGTATTTTGTATTTTTCATCCAGAATCCCCCTGAAGGGGACCCGCCCGACCTTCTCCAAGAGCCCAGCGAGCCAAAGCCACGCTGCGACAGCGAGTGCGGGATCAGGGGACCGGGCCACTCCGCCCGACGCGCAAGACGTTGGCATGCATTCGCGCTCGTCGAGCACCGTGCGAGTCAGTTATTTTTGTTGGGGGGGCAGAAGGCAGCCAGATTGTCGTGCAACCGCAGGGCCCTGCGCTGGCCGTTGAGCTGGCCGCCGACGCGAGCTTCCACCGGCGACCCGCGAACAGCGTACCTCGCACCTTCCAGCGGCGACGCGTGGACAGCGCCGTGATGCTGGCGTGCCTCGCATCGGGTGCCTTCTCGGCTTGGTCATACCGCCCACCAGCGCCCTGGCATCATCAAACACCCAGAGGCACGTACGGTAGCCAGTTCATACCCTCTTGTCCAGGTAGTCGTCGCTTGGTTGGCAGTACCCCCGAGTCCGATCTATCAGTCCGCGTCGGCCGTCTCTCTGTCGTCGACATGTGCGTTGGTTTGAGATACGAAGGCCGCTGCAGCAGTGTTACGATGGTCGTCATATAGCTCGGATGCTCATTCGCTGGTGGCGTTCGCCAGTTGTTTTCTTGCGTTTTCTTGTGTCAGGCGATGTTCTCGTCATGGCAGGATGGGTGTCTCCGTGCTGGCACTACCTATCGACATTGGGGAGTCGGCAAGTGTGGTTACGGTCAGGAGTGTTGGCTCAGCGTGTCAATCCGCTGTTCTGGCCCACCACGCTTCGGCGCGAGATGCTATCCACATCCCCGCTCCCAAGCGTCAACGTCCCGAGTTTTTCCCGACCTCCCGCTCCGCGGAGCGGAGCGACACGCAATCAGCTTGCAGTGTTTAGCGTGTCGCTGGGGCCAAGGCCGGGACACGCTAAGCAAGAGTTCCCGACCGTAAGATGTTGTGGGGCAGCAGGTCGCCGCCGAGTTGGCCCGCGCGGCCCCGGTGGAGGGTCACGGCCTCGGCGTCCTGCCAGAGCGGATGGTCGAGTGTGTAGTGTCGGCAGGTGTGTGCCATCTTTGCAGGCAGTTCCGCGGCAGACGCGCACAAGAGTCAGGAACGAAAGAAACACAGACACTATTAAACGTCGACTCCCAGGAAAATATGGGAAAACATGGGAAGTGGGGGGGAAGACGAAAACTCTGAAAAAATATTTGAAAATAGTCGGGAATCCTGTTATTTGTGTCTATTGATTTGTGTGTCCCTGGGCCCCTTCAAAGAGTTTCACCTGAATTGTGATTGTAATATGACCGCGGCCCGTCTCCTACCCAGCTACATCTTGCAGGTCAGGCGTGCCATTAGTAAGCAATCACCGCTTGCGGGGTGCCCTCGTGTATGGTTGAGCGGTCACCTCGGACAGGCCCACGGCATGTTTGCGACCAGCTTGCAATCCATCCACAATGCTCCTGCCGCATACCTTCTTTTCGATATGAGCACGATGTTTACGTCATGTCTGAGAAGAGGAGAAAGGAGACAGGAAGCGAAGGAGTTGTATAGGCGCAAACCTCAAAACACTATAGGGTGGAGTCTCCAGCCCCGTCAGCATTGCCAGAGAGATCCGTTCAAACGTCCCTCGTATTGGGCCATGTGGCTTGAATATTACATTCAGTCGCACATGTAGTGCAATTGCCACGGAAGAGGCGGGGGGAGAAGGAGTTATATGGATGTTGATTGGGGTGTTGTTTTGAGGACGGCTCATTCAATGACAGATTGCGACAGGAGCTGAACCACCGATTGGTCGCTCGTCTCGCGGAGGACCGCTTGCGTCGCGATGTTTACGATTTGCGTGAGTGCGTGCTCTTGTTTGCGTGCGCTGGTGTGCGCACGCGCGCGGGAACGGGAGGACGGCGGGACAGAGCAGGCTAACGTTTGTTATTTGATTGGTGGGTGGGAATCCTTGGTTAGATGGCTGGGGCATGTGCGACGAAGAAGAAGGAAGGATAATGAGTGGAGGGGGGGAGGGGGGGAGAGAAGTGGAGGGAGGGAAAAAGGGATGGAGGGAGAGAGGGAGGGAGGGTGACGACGGCGACGATGTCGACGACGACGACGACGACAACACTAGCACACGTATTTGCCGCTGCTTCCACATGCGTCTGCAGGTTTTTGTTTGGGAAGCTTGGCGAATCGCCCTCAAGTCTGTGACCGCCTGATCTGTAGTGGCCAGATGACCATGTCGACAAAGAAGTTGATGCCCCGAGAAGGAGCACAGTAACAGCACCAGGGAAGATACATGATGTGTCCTTGGATGCAAGAGTGATTCATTGGCTGACGCCGCACCGCCGACCCCTTGGGGCGGCAGTAAGAGTGAAAAACGGACTTTGCGGAACAATTTCTGGGGAATCTTGGTTTCAGTTTCTTGGGATTTCGTTGGGGGCGGTTGGCGGATCGCCGCTCTGCTCTTGGGCTTCTCTGGGCTCTCCTGGGAGCATTTTTTAGGCCTCTTGGGAGCCGTTTTGAGGCCTCTAGGAGCCTCTTTCGGGCCTCTCGGGGGCCTCGTGGGAGCCTCTTGGGGGCCTATTGGCGCCTCCTCATGTTTTATCGAGGCCGAGTGCTCGAAATAATGTTCATTCGGGTTCCCCCATCTGGGCCTCCTCTTGACCCTCCTGGATCGTTTTGGAAACTTCTGGGGCCGTCTTGGGGTCCTCTTGGGCCGTCTTGGAGCCTTCTTGGGGGCCTCTTGGGCTATCTTGGGTCGATGTTAAAGGCTTCTTAGGCCGTTGTGGGCCGCGTGAAAGCCCAAGAGGTGAATGGGCTAAAAATAGACGTTTTCCCTAGGGAATGGGACGGTGTTTGCTTCTTGGGACGCCTCTTGGTGGCTTCTTGGGGCGTCTTGGGGGCCTCTGGGACTGTCTGGAGGCGATCCTGGGCGTCTTGGAGCGATCTTTCGGCGACTCGTAGCCCTGTAGGACCGTCCGGGGGGCCTTTTGGGGGCCCTCTTGGCTCGTTTTGGGGCCCCTTGAGGCTCCAAGGGTGCGGCCGACACCTTTGCCTCCCACCCACCCCCCTTCCAAACCGGCCGGACTGGGCTCCCAGGGAGGGGTTTGGGGAGGGGGAAGCATCTCACACGCCGTGACCCCAAGGGGTCGGCGGATTTGGCAACATCTTTGCTTGGTGCATAAGTTTCGTCTAAAGAATCCTAAGATGCTGATTGTGGACGATTCGTGTTCACTGCCCGTTTTTTTTTACGAGCCGAGCATTGCCCGAAGATGGGCGAAATGCATGCTGGAGGCCAAAAACGGCCCCACGACGATTCGAAATATCCTTAGACGGGTACACAAGTTGGTTAGAAGTATCCTGAAATATCGATCGGTGTTTGAGACTTCCGCCCTTCCGCCGATCTCTAGGACCTCCAGAAGTCCTAGGTTTGAGTTGCCAGGAGGCTGATGGAGGGCAAGAAGAAAGTGGTGAGTGGTGAGCGACACGATATGGACGAAGTGAAAGGGGGCGAGCGGGAGGAGGAGGAGGAGGACGACGACAACAACGAGGACGAGGAAGAGGAGGACTCCGCGCGGCCTCATTCTTCTCCTCCAGCCCTGTCACCTGCATGTGGCCCACGATGTCGTTGGTGGCTGGCGAGCTGCGGCCCGGGAGGCCAAAGGAGGGCAAAGAACCCCCCTCCTAAGCAGACACCGGAAGACCGACAGGACGGCATGGGAGCACGGTTGCCACGGTACAGTAGGTGCATCACATAAGAAGTCGGCTTGCCAGTTGGTGTCTTGCGGGAATATCGTACCTCCCGAAAGCCCCAGGCACCGGCAGAAGCTCTTAGGATCCTTCTAGGACCTTCAGAGATCGACGAATCATGTGCCCCAAGATGTCTTACTGCAAGATGTCCTGGGGGGCGTTCGTTAATGAATGCGCCCAGGAAGATCAGACCGTGGATGATTCCTTATCTGACGAGGGTGGCGGTGAATCCATGGCCAACCCACGATTGGGATCCACGGGCTTGCAGACCCTGGATTCCGTATCCGATGATTCTTTGATCGAATGCACTCACCGTATCGTGTGTGCCAGAAGTCCAGGGCCTCCCGCTCCCCACTCGACACGGCTCTTGATCTCAGCGGGGCCTCCTGGCACGTCGCTGGGCCTCGCGGGTGTCCAGGACGAGGGATTCTCCGAGAAGTCCTCAGGCAGACCCCACGACCAGGGGGCGCACCCCCCACGAAGCCAGCCACCCTCTCGTCGGATGCTGGGAGCCGCGCGCGTGCGGCTGGGAGAAATCACCCTTCAAGGCGAAGCGCTGGAAAAAGGACCACCGAGGGCTCAGGAGGGGCTATGGCTTTCCAGACGCTCCTGAAGTTCAAGTCGGGGAGTCTAGTAATCGTAGCCGAGGCTCGCCGTGGCCTGAAAAGTCATGCCGTTCCTTATCCGGAGTTCCCTACGGTAGCACGATGATTGTAGCCTTTTCCTCCGATTGATGCTTCCTCATTCTCGACTCTTGTCGTTTGCGACGACCAAGAACTCCTGAGGGCATCTCGGCGCCACCGGCGGTGGCTGACGTCTGGTCGCAAGAGTGCCGAGGAGACGGCCTTCTAGCAGCAGGGGTCGGAGGCCCAGAAATACGGCAGAAAAGTAGTCATGCGAATTCGAGCGACGCGCGACGCGCGGGTATCATCGCGGTCTCACGCCGCCGCGGTCTCCTGCCCTCTTCACCTCGAGAAGCACGACCATCTGCGCGCCCCCCCCGAGTGGCTCAGGGAGCACGGGCTGCATGACAAGGCGACGGATCCTCCTGAATTCATGTGCTGTGCACTTTCCTCCCTCTGAGCCAGGGAGACTGTGGGCCTTCTCCCGCTCGGGCGTTTAGACATGGGGGGGCGATAAATGGGGCTGGGTCGAGGGATGCAGAGAAGTGGCTCGAGCAGGCACCCCTAAGGGACCGGGACCTCTAGATTGGCCCCCTGGGGCCCAGCAGGTGTGAGAAAGGTGCACCTTGCTTCATCCCCCGTTTGTCCATCGGTCGGTGCAAGAAGGTATTTCTGGAGTCCCAGATTCCAATCTACTTGAAGCGCCTTCCTACTTCAATGATCGAGTGGCTTCACCTTTTCCGTCCTCCTCAGGGGTGGGCGGACACCCAATCTATTGTCAACGCCTTCCTACTTCATGTGTCTACCTACTTCTTCCGACCGATGTGGACTGTTCCTCCATTAGCAGCGCACAACCGGCTTAGTTTTTGATGACCATGTTGTTCACCGCCTCCCTTACTTGACCACCAGAGCTCTGGTGAGGGATTCCCTCTCGACGCCCGTCGCTCCCGTTTGGTCCCCCCATTTGGGCCAGAGACGTGCTGCACTCACGCAGGGGGGGTGAGGGGGGGGCAGACACGGCATTTCCAGTGCATGCCGGAGCCGCTGGTGTCAGCGGCGCGTTTCAACCATTCGGAGCCTGGGGCCCTGGATGAGTGGGAGCCCTTTCCATTCGCCCCGCTGCATATCTACGGTCTCCACCTCCCCACTCGCTCCCTCCTTCCCCTCCCTCCCTTCCTCCCTCCCCCCATTCTCCCCTTACACCCACACGATATGAACACTACTCTTCACTCAGCCCTGTTAAGGTCCAAGCTTAACCCCCACCTCTTCCGCACATTCTTCATTTTCGAGCACGGGATTCCATGCAAGACAGCGTGAGCCCCAGACAGCGTTTTCTTGCAATATGTGCGGTGCAATCTAGATGGTGCCATCTGTGTGGTGCCAGGCACAGCCAAACTATGCAAAGCAATACAAGGCACTGCATAGCAATGCAAAGCAACACAACGCAACGCATTGCAGAGCAATGCAAAGCAATCAAAAGCAATGCAATGCAAAGCAATTCAACGCAATGCAGCGCACTGCAACGCAATGCAGACCAATGCAAAGCAATGCAATGCAAAGCAGTGTAAAGCAATACAACGCAATGCCAACCAATGCAACGCGAAGCAATGCAACACAATGCAAAGCGGTGCAATCCGATGCGAATCGATGCGAAGCAGCGCAAAGCAGAGCAAAGCAGTCCCAAAACGGTGCAATGCAGTGCGACTGCAGTGCAACGCAGTGCGATTGCAGTGCAGCGGGGGGGTGCAGCGGGGCGGCGGCGACGGGCGGGAACGGGTCCGCCAGGGCCGCGACCGGTTCTGTCTTACTGTTGGAGCACACATGTTGTGGCGACGGGATCGGGGCCGCCGGGGCCGCACATGGGCCCAGATTCTCAGGAGAGAGGTCAAAAGCCCTGAGTGCAAGCCTTGTTTAGGGGAAGTAGTTGGCTTTCTTTGCGGCGTTGGTTCGGTCTGGACGATCTCGGCCCTTCAGAAGTGGTGATTCCGCTTCAGCGTTGACCTCGTTTCAGGATCGGTGTTTTGCTCCCGTCGTTCAGAATGGCCCCCCCCCGCCACGGCGCAGGCCACATTCCGAGATCCGATGCCTTCCTCGCCGTTGCTCCTCCTGTTCCCCCTGCTCCTGCTGCTGCTCGCCCTCCTCCATCTTCATTACTTCGAGCCCTGTCCGCCTGCTCAGTCCAGTTCAGTCCTGTCCTCGTCCCCCATCTTCCTCCTCCTCCTCTTCCTCCTGATCACCCTCCTGCTCGTCGGCCACGTGTTCCTCGTCTCTGTCTCCCAATGTGCCACACATGCTTCCTGATGGTGCAGCACACGATGAGGTCACTTCTGTGGATCAGGGTCCTCCTCAGGACTCCCCCCAGGCGCGAACGAAAAGGGACCCAGCGCAGTATGAGGGGATGGGTGGGAAGGGTGGAATGTCGGATGTGGCGCGCGCACCTCGCTTCCCCTTCTGCCCCCTCTGCCCCCTCCCATCCCTGCTCCCTCACCCTCACCCTCCTCCTTCTCCTCCTCCTCCTCCTCCTCCTCCTCCTCCTGCTCCTCCTCCTCCTGCTCCTCCTACTCTTCCTCCTCATCCTCCTCCTCCGCCTCCTCCTCCTCCTCCTCCTAGTCGGCGTTGGAGGCCCAGGCTATTTGAGCTCCGACGGAGTGGGGACTTTCACTGAAACCCAGCCACACGACGTCCGCCCCATACATTCTCCAGCGGCGGGGGGAGGGAGTAGGGGGAAGGAGGGACGACAGAGAATAAATAAGTAAAACAATCCCTGCAGCCACTCCGATACCGTACCTTTTTGCTATTGCTTCTGGCGTGGCAGGGTCGTAATCGGGTGATACATTTTTCTTGTGCCGCAACTTTCCCAAAGTCCATGGAGGATTGGAGTGCGACCTTGAAAAAACGACGGGTCAAAGACGAAGAAAACGGATCCGCCGTACCCACGCTCGGACATGCCAGGTTGCCAGGATTGCCAGTTGCGAACAATTGGTTGACTCAGTGCCGTCGCTGGACAGCGGTTGCCAGAGGGAAGCTGGAGGCCCAGAGGTTCGGATTCAACCGGAGGGTGTCAATTAAGAACCTCGGCGAACCATAAACGAATCAGAACTTCGGGAACAGATGCAACAGGAGATTGAAGACCAATTGTTCCAATGGGGTCCAATAGGGCCTGGTGTGCATTCATTTGTTCGGCGGCGAGCGAAGATAGACGACAACGGTTCGAAGGACGATAGAGGCCCCGAGGTTCGGAGGTCATCGGCTGCGACCGATGAAGGACCTCGAAAACCCATAGACCCCTGCTCTTCAGGTGATGGGAATGTCATGTGTGACTTTGAAGCACATGAGGAGACCGAGAAGCAGAGAACGATTTGCTTGGAATAGTTGGCAATGAAGATAGAATATCACTTGCGTCAATGGAACAAGAGCCAGGGGGAAGATGAAGTTCCCGAGGTTCGGAGGCCACTGGTCTCCGCCAGCGGTAAGCCTTGAAAACCATGTTCTCTCCGTCGGCAAATCGGAACATACTGCAGGAAGTTTCTGCGGTGCTTCCGAACAATACAGGCTCCTTGCGCAGGGCGAAAGAAGTTCAACAAACGCTGCCCCCTGGCCTCACACAGCAGGAAGTGGATGATGCACTGACAGAATTAGCAGCATTGGGTTTCAAATTGAGCCCGACAGAGATAATCCAGCTCCATAATGCAGGCCGTGGTGTTTTTTTGGGGGCGACAACGAAAACACATGTTGATTCCGCCAGTGTTTGACGATGTTGAGCATGTTTCCACGCCTTTCTATCCTCCCTTATCTTCCCTTTCTTCGTCGTCGCGTCGTCAGCGCATCGCATCCTCCCCCCCTCCCTTCCCTGTGTTGTTCTCTATTTCGGTCCGCTTCATGCTGATCATTTGTTTTCTGCCTCCTCCTACTCCTCCTTTTCCTTTCAAGGCCCAAGCGCGCCGCGCGCCCGGCAGCAGGCTTCCCCGAGGGTTTCCAGGGAGTGCCTATAGATTGGCCTACTTTTCGGGCACGAATGTTTCGTGTCTTACGTGCGTGCTTATATATGTATATATATATATACATACAGACATACATATATAAACATAAATACATACATACATACATACATACATACATACATACATACATACATATACATATACATATACATATACATATACATATACATATACATATACATATACATACATATATATATATATATATTGGTCGTATCATGGAGAGCGAATCCCCAGCGTGTTACGTGATGCGTAGGGTTTTGCGTTGTTGGGGGGCGCGGGTCCTTTGTTTCTTACACAAGTGCGTATAGGTTGGCCCTCTCCTGGGGCACGAGTCCTTTGTGCGTTCACGCGTATGCCCATAGATTGGCCCTTCCCAAGGACACGAATCTTTTTTGTGTTCTACAGATTTGCTTACAGATTTGCCCTCCCCTGGGGCACGAACCCTGCGTATTTTACGAATGCGCCTATGGATTTGCTCTCCCCTTGGGCACGAATCTGTCGTGCTTTGCGTATGTACCTATAGATTCGCCCTCTCCTGGAGCACGAATCCTTCGTGTCTTACGCGTGTGCATATAGATTGGCCTTCCCATGGAGCACGAATCTTTTTGTGTATAACGTATGTGCCAACAGATCGGCCTTCCAATGGGACGCGAATCCTCTTAGTGTTCTACGTGTGTGCCTATAACTTGACCTCCTAGGGCGCGAATTTGTCGTGCTTCACGTGCGTGCTGATGGAGTGGCCGTATCATGGGAGACGAATCCTTAGCGTGATTGGCCCTCTCCTGGGGCACGATCCCTTTCCAGGGGCAAGAGTCTTTCGCGTTTTACGTGTTTGCTCATAGATTTGCTCATTCGTGCCCAGAGAGTAGGCCAATCTAGTTCGCCGTCCTGTGGGCGGCGCGCGACCGGGGGCCACAGAATCGTAAACTTGATTCTAGTTCACCATTCTGGTACCCCCTGGAAGCCCACAGGACGGCGAACGAGACTCTAGTTCACCTTTTCTGGTACCCCCGGAAAGCCCACAGAACTGTGAACTATAATCTAGTTCACAATCCAGGTGCCCCTTGGAAGCCCACAGGACGGCGAACTAGATTCTAGTTCATCATTCTGGTTTCCCCTGGGAGCCGATAGAACTGCGAGCTAGAATCTAGTTCACCATTCTGGTACCCCCTGGAAGCCCACAGGACGGCGAATTAGATTCTAGTTCACCTTTCTGGTACCCCCAGAAAGCCCACAGGGCGGCGAAATAGATTCTAGTTCACCTTTCTGGCACCCCCAGGAAGCCCACAGAATTGCGAACTAGAATCTGGTTCACCATTCTGGTATCCTGGAAGCCCACAGGGCGGCGAACTAGATTCTAGTTCACCTTTCTGGTACCCCGGGAAGCCCACAGGACGGCGAACTAGCCTCCTCTTCTTCGTACTCCTCCTCATCCTCCTCCTCCTCCCCCTCGTCCTCCTCCGCCGCCTCCGCATCCTCATCATCCTCATCACCCTCCTAATCCTCATCCTTCTCCTCCTCCTCCTCCTTCTCCTCCTCCTCCTCCTCCTCCTCTTCCTCCTCCTCCTCCTCCTTCCGCGCCTCTTGCTGCTGTTCCTCCTCCTCCTCCTTCACCATCGCCGTCGGCCCCAAGGACGGGCACAGCCTGGCCCGGCTGCTGAGCGACGGCCCGGGCGGCGCGACCCACGCGTCGCAGGCAGAAGCGCGGCTGGCCTGAGCTCGGCGAAAGACGGCGATCCCGCCGCGGCCCCCAATCAGTAGATTGTGTTTGATCATCTGGCGCGTAGTTCTAGGCCTCCCTGATGAGGTCCGAGTAGATGGGGTCGGAGCAGCGCGCCGCATCGCTGATGTACCGCCGATGCGGCTCGATGCAGACCCCGAGTTTCTCCACGTTGGCGTCGCCAACGCATCGGCGACGTCACTGGTACATCGCCGATGCATCCTCGATGCATCGCCGATACCAGCGATGCGGCGAGATCTACCGACTCCATTTGGGAGGCGTCTAGTGACGGCTGCTACCAGGGCCGAGTTCCCCACCACTTCCGGGCAACAATAACTAATGATCGTATGTAGGCAGGGGGGCCTTGGACCCCCCCCACACGCACACAACCACACACACACACGCTGGTGTTCGCGCGCACAGTACGGCGATCGCAGCGCACCCCCGCCCCGACGTGCCCCACCTCGCTCAAGCGCTGCCGTTACCCAAGTGCTTTCTTTCTTTCCCCCTCTCTCTTTCCTTCTCTCTCTGCTGCTCGTGGCGCCATACCTGTGTGAGGTACCACTGACCTGGGCGCCAGCGGGGGTACATACACATTGTGCTGCAGCCTCGCAGTTTTTCCCCTCTTCTCTGGAGGCGCTGGCGCGTGCTCGTCCTCCCTCCTCTTTCCTCTTGGGTCTGTTGTCTCTCCTGTAGTTTGGACACCGGCCCATGATTCGCGGAGCCCGGCTCATTTCTCGTGTCCGTTTCTTTGTCGTCTCACGGTTTGCTGTGTTATGATACTCAGGGGGCTGTTGCTTTTTGTGCATGCGGTGGCCCTCGTGCTATCCTTTGTCTGACGCTGTAGCGCTATTTCGCTGTCGTGTATCACAGTGAACGAGATCGGGGCGGGCGGTTGCTTTGCGGAAAAAAAGCTACCCGAGGCCCCAACCCCTTCCCCCCCACCCTCCCGTGAACGACCGTGAGCAGAAGTAAATATCGTAGCACCCCGCAGATGCGGATAAGAGTGAGGGGGTGGTGGGGACGTCGGCAGTTTGCGAGACTCTGGAGAACAACGAGCCCGCCGCAGGCGCCGATTTTGTTCGTTAAACCAATGTGGGTAGGTCGCGAGTGGGTCGCGGGTGGGTCGCGGATGGGTCGCGGGGTGGGTCGCGGATGGGTCGCGGATGGGTCGCGGGTGGGTCGCGGGTGGGTCGCGGGTGGGTCGCGGCTTGGGTCGCGGGTGGGTCGCGGTTTGGGTCGCGTTGTGGGTCGCGGGGTGGGTCGCGGGGTGGATCGCGGGTGGGTCGCGGGTGGGACGACAACAACAAACAATTAAACAAACAAACAAACAACAACGTAACAAGCGGAATCGTCATCACGGATCCCCACTTCAGCCACGCACCCAGGGACAACGAATGATTGGTCGGCCCCCTCACTCTGATTCGACGCGTAGATCCGTGCATATCATTTCTAGGCACGTCCTGCTGTGAGTGTCTGGCTGTGAACGCCTGAGTGTGAGATCGTATCCGAGTGGACGACGGGTACGACGGGTACGACGACGACGACGACGACGACGACGACGACGACGACGACGACGACGACGACGGCGGCGGCGGCGGCGGCGGCGGCGGCGGCGGCGGCGACGGCGGCTACGATGAGGGTCAACGCCGACCACGACGACAAGATCTCACAGGCAGACAGGCGGTGAGCAGGCCGTTCCCCTCTCCGTCCTCGTGTTCCGCATCGTTGCCTGCCCCTTCTCTTCCTCGGCGCGTCTCGGTGGAAACGCACACGCGTCCTGCTCCCCCTCTCTCCAGATCTCGGCGACGCAGAACCTCTCCTTCGTCTCCTCCCCAGTTCCTGGCAACGCCAAAAAACAACAACAAGGCAGGTGGTCGTCTTGTCTGGCCTCGGGGGGCCGCTTCCCGGCCCTGGGACCGCGAACGATGATTGGGTTTGGCATGTGCCTCGACAGGAGGAAGATTCAAGAATGGTGTAGAATTAGTCCAGTGACGATCTCCCTGCTCTTTTCATGATTTTGATTATTTGGGGGCCAGAGGGGCACGCTCATTGAAACAGTCTGGCGGACCGATTCTTTCGGTTGATGAGCCGGCGCCCAGCAGGCTAGCAGGGCTGAGGGTCCGCAGCAAATTGGGCCCGAGCAGATTGCCAGGCGGGACTCGAACGCGGCGTCGTGTGCAAACACGACGGTGCTAGGCTGGGCCACATGAAGTCAGTCTTGGTGCCGCTGATCGCAGCAGCGTCGATGCCCTTCGTCGCGCGGCACTGGCACCCGAGGCCCGCAGACGTGGCGGACAAGAACTCCACCCAGCCAGCCCCGGCTGAGAGCGCGGGGCTCGCGCCGATAGCGCAGGAGGCATCGGCTGGCCGAGAGGCTGCCTCTCTCCTCCTCCTCCTCCTCCTCCTCCTCCTCCTCCTCCTCCTCCTCCTCCTCCTCCTCCTCCTCCATCTTGGTCCGATCCGCCTGGATCCGTATCGAGAAGGAGGATAGTGAGGGCGAGGGAGAAGGATGAGGAGGAGGAGGACGAGGAGGAACCCTGTGATCCGACGTTGTGAAAACAAACACCTCGCGAAAACTCACAGCAGGAGCCCTAGACACCATCCCCTCGCATCATCTTCCAGGCAGGATCGACACGGGAGGGTCCTTGGGCCTGCATGGAACTGGGCGGACACGCCGGTTTTGTAATTATATAGCTTTTTAACAACAACCAAAATAACAACCAAAACAAAAAAAAAAAAAAAAAACAAAAAAAAAACGCCAGGATTCCCCCGGGGGAGGGAGGCGAGGAGGCAGAGAGCGAGGCCCTGCCCTCCACCGCGGCCCTGCCCGCCGAGCCCGCCCGCCTCGCGCGGCCGGAGCCCGCCGGGAGGCCCCGCGCCGGCGGCGCCCGCGGCCGCGCCCGCGGGGCCTCGGGCCGCCCCGCGGCCCGAGCCCGCCGGGGCGCCGGGGGCCGCCGCAGCGCAGGGCGCGGCGCGCGCCGAGGGGCCGGCGGCCGCGGCCAGCGAGCCCCGCAGGAGGGCAGGCGGGTCTCAAGTCGGGCCTGTCCCCGCACGGGAGGAGCACTCACAAAGAGTCAGCGAAGCAAAGCAGTCTGGGGACGATGTTTCTGTTTTTTAATATTTTTGGGCATGTGTTGCGTGTGCTTTCTTTTTCATCGAGAATCGGCCTGTAGGGGGACATGCCCGACCTAAAATTAGTCGGCTGCGCGTGCGAGGGACCTTCAGCCGGAGTGGCCTCTGGTGCGGGCCCAGTGGTCAGTGGTTCAAAGATGGGGTCCTGAGGGATGGGGACCCAAGGATGGGAAGGGATCCCGAAGGGTGGAGGAGATGGGCTCGGGGGGCGGGCGCATCGTCTCCGATCGGGGAGGGCGTGTGTTGCGAAGGATCGGAGGTTCTTGCAGCTTCAACTTTCCCGCTACACCGCCACCGTCCCCAGACGCGTCCCCGAAGAATGAGGATACACGGTTCCAACAGGTATTTCCCGGCCGATTCCGATGTCAGTTGCGGATCCAATGGATACAACACGAGGTCCGATTTCCGGGGGGGGGGGGGGACACGGAGGACGAGGAGGGAGATTCTGGTCAGGGGCAACGATAGTGGTGGGATAGGCTCAGGGGGGGGCGCATCGACCCCCAATCGCCCTCTGATCGCCGATATGGGCCCGATAGCCCACCCCGCCCAGGAACGTGCGGATTCGCGATCGGGGGCCTATCGCCGATCTGATGGCGATGGATCGCCGATTTCAGCTCGATGGTTCCAGCCCTCGGCTGGGGCTCCCCCATCGTTGCCCCTCAGTTGCACATTGTTCGAGCCGGGCGCTTTCGCATCGATTCGGGCCCCGGGACCTTCACAGATTGATGCGGCTCGAGAAATGTTCAAAAAAGTGGGATCTGGGGATCTGTCGCGATTGTTCACGATGCTGCATGTTTGCTCGCGTCGTCGGAACTCAGGGGAAGAAGAGGACACAGATCTCTGATCAAATGATTTGTTTGCAATCTGGGCGACTTGCCTCCATTTCGGCCTCCAGGGCTCGTTATCGGGCCCCGGGGCCATCAGAAATGAATCTGGGACAAGAGACAAATCGGGGAAAGGATCGGGCATTTAAAAAACATATCGTCGGATGTACGTCTGGGGAGGCGGATGAAGAGATGGAGGCGGGGGATGCAGGGGAGCATAGGAGAGATGGGCGTGAGAGGAAGGTCAGTCAGGCGTAGGATCGGAACAGATCGTTCCAGAGTATTCCAGAACGCTCTCAGAACATTCTGGAACATTCTAAAACGGCCGCGGCGCCCGATACATCTTCCAGAAATGCCGGATCTCAAGTATCCCCGATTTAGACCGATTTGATTTTGTCTCGTTCTTGATTTCTCTCAAAAAAAAAAAAAAACAGACACCCAACGTCTTGCTCTTTTCGATGCGAGGACCCCCGAAGCCCCGAGCTTCGTCCCTAATGGCCGACTTTTCGCCCTGAGCCGTTTTCTCACAGCCCCGGAGCCCGGCGAGGGCCCCCGGAGGCCGCAGACGACGAGAACCCGCCCGCCCGCCGAGTTGGTTTTCCAACGCGTCGGATGCTCTGAGGCCGCTCCGGGCCATCCGCGGCCCTCCACCGAGCGCGTCCCGCTGCTCTCGGGGGCGGCCAAGAGGGGGGCGATGACAAGGGGGGGGAGATGTCATGGCGCGGGGGCCACGATACCTCCCCAGATTTGATGGTGCCTCTTCTCATTTCAATAGGTCCCCGGTCCTCCCGCTGGGCCGCGCACGTGCCGCCGGCCATGATGTGCGCCCCCCCCCCCTCTTGGACGCCCCTCTCTTGGCTGCCCCCGATAGTCGCAAAGTGCCCACGCGCAAACTTCGACGTAATGGATCGCAGATCCCCCGCAGCGAATCCAGGCCATCTGCGAGCATTTTTACGTCGGGCCTGTCCCTCTACAGGGAGAGCATTCAAAAATAGTAAGAAAATAGTCTGGGGACGTTGTTTCGACTATTTTTGACTA